GGTTTGATTGTTTTTTAGAATATAGAGTTTGACTATTGGAAAACTTGCCAAATGTAAACGATATTGAACAATAATTTGAATACATTTTTTTCCTATTTTTTTTTTCAGATGAATGCAAGCGATCGGAAGAAAAAGACCAGGACTTCAAGCATGTTTCGATGAAATATGACTTATTGGTGAAGGAAAAAGACCGACTTGATGCCAAATTGAATGGTTAGTACTCTGTGGCTTGTGTGTATTTATAAAGTGTCATCAGGGTTGTATTCTAGTCGATTTAGCACTCCAAGTCAATTTTAACTATTTATGCTTTAATCAGGTAAAAAAGAGCTGCAGGAGAACAAAAAGCGTTTGGCCAACGAAATTGCGTTGCTCAAGCAAGAAAATAAACAATTGAAGGACTCGTTGCACCAGGTGGAAAAAGAGAAAAATGAAAAACAGTCGAAAATTGATACGTTTGCCGAGAAATTCTCAGCTTTGCAAGATGAAAAGAACAAAGTTGTCGACACGTTAAAAGGTTTATTTCAATGGAATTATATTGTTGGTTCCAAGTTTTTGGATTTTTAAAGTAAATAATTCACAGATGAGTGCAAGAGACTGGGCGAAAAAGATCTGGACTTTAAGCGTATTTCTGCGAATCATGAACTGTTGTTGAAGGATAAAGAGCGGCTTGACATCAAATATTCATCGCTCAAGCGGGAGTACAAAGATTTGAATGATATCTTAAATCAGCAGACGAAACAATATGATGCGATGAGATCGGAATTCAACTGCTTAAATGGAAAAGTGACGTCGTTGCAAGTGGAAAAAGAAAATATCGAAGAATTTCTCAAAGGTATGCCTATTTAAACCAACTCACTTCAGTGGTATCTAACGACTTACCGTTGTCAATCGATTCAAATTCTAGTCAAATCCAAGCAATTGGAAGAAAAGGAGATGGAACACATGCGAATCTCAACGAAATACGAATGGCTTATGCAGGAAACTGAACGCGTTGACAACGAATTAATTACGCTAAAGCGGAAAAATGAAGATTTAAATGATTCATGTAATGAGGTCATGGAACAGCGTGACTTTGAGCAGTCAGAAGTGATGTCATTGAATGAGAAATTGAAAACGGTACAAAGCGAACGAAATAATCTTTCTGAGAAGTTACAAGGTATATCTTTGTGTGAATTGACCTATATCAAAAATAAACATCGATTTTTTTGGTCTGATTTCTCAGAAAAATGTAAGCAGTTCGAAGAAAAGCGATGGGAAGTTGAACAGTGGTCCACAACGTTTCAAACTTTGACGAAGGATAAGAATCAGATGGAAGACGAGATTCAAGCGTTCAAGCGAAAAATCCATGTGTTGAGCGATGCTCTGGCTCTCACGGAAAAGGATAGAGATAAGCGACAGTCGAAAATTGATACATTGAACGAGAAACAGCAAGCACAGCGCAGTGAATTGGAAAAAGCGGTCGACACTTTAAAAGGTTTGACTTCATTCAATAATTTAGATGTTTTGTTCTATTCCAAACTTAAGTCTAAGTACACACAAACTCTATTTTACGATACATCAAATAGATGAACGCAAACGTTTGGAGAACAAAGAGTTGGATCTGAAGCGAATCAATACGATGTATGAATTGCTATTGAAAGAGAAAGAGCGCTTAGGAATCGAACTTCAAGGTCAGTTTAGTCCATTTCAATATATTTAACGTCGACAGACGATGACAACGATGATAGATGACCACTTCTATTCAATTGGTTTCATAGGTGAAAAGGGGCGGGCAGCAGAGAAAGATACGGAAATTTCGTTACTCAAGCGAAAAAATGATATGCTGAACAATGCTTTGTGTGTCGTTGAAAAGGAGAAAAATGTGGCACAGTCGGAAATTGGCACATTGAATAAAAAACTACACACATTGCAAATGGAAAAGGAACAGATTATTCAATCCCTAAAAGGTTTGTCTATTTATAGTGGAAAATATTCCCAACCAGATTCAGTCTATTACACATATGCTGTTTTGCAGATGAATGTAAACGTGCGGAAGAAAGAAGCTCGGAAAAAGAACTCGGAATCAAACGTGTCAATGCTAAGTACGAAATATTGTTAGGTGAAAAAGAACGCATTGACAATGAATTGAAAGGTCAGCTTTGGGTTTTATTAGCTGGCGTTTTTTTTTTGTGTAAAAATTATTCAACATTCGTCTTCTATATTCTCAGGCAAACGAGAGCTTCTCAGAGAAAACGAACGCATGAACACCGAAATCCAAATGCTTGGCAGAAAATGTGAAGACTTGAACCACTTGAACCAGAATCTGAGCGCAACGGTTAAACAACGGGACAAAGAACGTTCGGAAATCACCAAATTGAATGATAAATTGAGACAATTGCAAATCGATACCGAAAAGGTAGTTAGAGCTCTCAAAGGTATGCATCCAGAATTCTATTTTTAAACATTGTCGATTATTCTGAAAGAGTGCATTGGATTGAAACAAGATGCTTGGACAGGTTTTTTTTTCTGATGAAAATAAAAAACGAAAAATCATACCATGAATAATCATCGCGAAATCTTTTCCAGATAAATGCAAGCAAGTCGAAGAAAAAGAAGCCGAAGTCATGCGATTCACAAAAATGTACGAGATGTTGTTGTCGGAAAAGGAACGCGTTGAATGCGAGCTCAAAGGTTTGTTTCAACTCATTTTCTTAGAAAAATTCCTAAACTAATTCTATTTCTCCCATCATTTCAGCGAAACATGATAGGGCCAATGAAACAGTTGTTCGTTTAACCGAGGAAAACAACAAGTTGGTTGAAGAATTACAAATCAAAGAACAACTGCTCCACAACATCAAAAGTAAGTTGTTAAAAACCTTGAACATACATGAACATATATTTGGTTCATGAGCATTTAAGAATTGTGTATGCGTTTGATCGATATATCTACCCCTTATCTTTTTGTCGCTTCTTCAACAGGTACGTTCAATATATTGACTCCAAAGAAATTCCAATCGACACCGAAAAAGTAGCCATTGCAACGTCGTACCGAAAATTCCAACTTACCAATCATGGTGAGCCAAAAATCCACTCAAGAGGAACGACAAAGAAAACGAAAAAAAACACAAAGCTCATTAACTGCCATAAGACCACTTCTGCCAATGTTGGGGATTGAACGAAAAAAATTCTTCGAATTTCTTCTCTTCAGTAGGTTGATAAACTCAGGAAGTTTATCAGCACATTTAATTTAGTTCATTTTTATGTCATTTATTTTGGCTTCATTTTTTTATATTTTGCTAAATCCAAGATTTTATTGAATTTGTTGTAATGAACAAAGAGATATGTTATTAGAGCTAGATTTTATAGAATGTTCATTTTTAAAAGATTTAATAATGAGGAAAAAATTAAATGGAAAATAGTCATAGAATGACTAAGTATTTTATACTTTTATAATTTCCCGACTTTTATTTTGTCTCATGTAAAAAGAAAATCAATGAAAATGATAACAAAAGGAAATCCAAAAAATTGCTTCCGTCTTTAACGAAAAATGTGCTTCAATTACTCGTTAGACTGTAATAAGAAAGCATAAGGGAGTAGTTGTTCGTATGCATAAAATAAAATATGTCAATAGCAGCATCTAAATTTTGTGTCACATTTAATGTGCATAGTGTTTGAGAATTGGGTGGAAGCCGAACGAGTATAATAAATAGTAAAATGTTCGCAAAAATTCCTTTTTTTCTCTTGTTCGTGAATGGTAAGTGAATGAGCGCGCGAAAATTGCCAAATATCATGAAATTATGTGGAATGACCCGCCTTTTCTAGATAATTTAATGGTTTTGGCAATTTGGAAAGCGTCCATGATTTTTATTGAAGCTCTCTCGCCTCCCCCTTCCTACGCAAACAGTGAATACACTCACACTCTTACACTTACAAGGAAAAAAAATTACAATAGAGAGTCGACGTATTGGCTTCCTCACTCCATCTCCTCTCACACTCCGTGTCGAGATGATTTTTCTTTGCCATTTACATAAGTCGGAATTGCGTAGCGTTGCCGATTAATATCGTCTGATATGGTCCATAATGTAGGTCTGTGCATAAATGCTCATTGGTATGGAGCAAAAACGCAAATGGTTCTTGCGGTCACAAATGTAAACGGCGTGATAATTTAGCACCGATAATTATGTGCTCAGCAAGTGTACTTCTATAATTTTCTCTTTAAACAGTTTGGCATAGCCACCACACCCAAAACATATATTCACGAAACGCTATAGTGCACAGATTTGATTTAATTAAATGAACAATGACCGCAATCGAGAGGGCGAGAAAGAGAGAGAGAGCAATGGCATGAAGTGCGATGTGATAAATCAAAGGCAATTACTTTGAATGTGCTTCCACTTGAGTGTTCGGTATATTAAGATAAATTTGATTCCATTAGCCGTATGCTGTGATTTACGTGAACACCATCGATGGCAAAAATAGACCAATTTTAATTTCTATCAATCTTAATTTTTTCTATTTTCTTTATTATTGTACAACATTTTCGAAAAATTTCTATATCATTACAAGAATAAGTTTAATATCTAAAAAATTATGGTATAAGGCAGCTGTTTAACAGATAATTAAATAAACATAGAACATGCACTCGTTGAATTTGCTTGCGAGTATTTCGTTGTTTTGTAGTATTTTTGTCTCGAAAAGGGGTGGGTATTCAATCAGAATTTTTTCTCGAATCGGGCGCTTTGCGATCGTGCCAAGTGCGAATTACCATTGACAAACATGTGATTCTTATTATTATCCGACGATTTGGACCTGTTCATTTTGAATTGTTGCCATTCACGATCCTTGGCAATGATATCCATGCGTTCGACCATCGGAATTTTCACAAAAATGCTGTGCAAATTTTGACTCGCTGATGCCAACTGGAAACGAAAATGCAAACGAAATAGAAAGTTGTTGAGAGCCGCACCGAAAAAAAAAGAATTAAAAGTTTCTGGCCATTGGCAGAAAAATGAGAAATTGGCGTGTTGAGCGCGTGAATTACCTGTTGAATGAGATGCGATTTGAGTTCAATATCAGCCGGTGATTCGTTTTCATTGCCCTCGTAATGCAAATCCAATATGAATAGCAGCGTATCACGAATGGTTTTGACGATATTTTGTACTTTTGTTGATTTGAACAGTCTTCGGGTGAGATAACCACGGGTGTATGCCGTTATTATGCTGGCAGCTCGAACCTCTTCAATGGTGTACATTTCGAATGGCTCGGAACTAACCGTTGACAAACTTGATGGATACGATTTGTTCAAGTCATCCGCTATTAATTTTTTATCATCGTAATACAAACGGCGAATGCATTTGGAACTGTCCGGCGTAAATCGATTCACACGATTGCCATTCGTATCAAAGACCACCGGCACCTCGTTGTTCACCTCCTCAATGAGCATCTTTTCGTTGGACTTCTTTGCCTCTACGACGGGCTGGGTTTCTGTCGTTGCTTTTGGTGTGATTTGCTTTTCATTTCTATTTATAACTAAATCCGAAATTTTCTTCAATAATTCTTCCTGTTGACGGAAGAATTCCTCCTGCATACGTTTCTGCTCTTCCTGTTGGCGCTGTAGCAATACCTTCATTTGATTTGCATGCTGATTTTCGATCATCACCAAAATGTCTTGGTAGTTTTGAGGGGTTATGTTATCATTGGCACCATTCATTGGCCGGGTTGAAGCCGTTTCGATGACCTGGCTCTTGTTAACTGTTTTATTCTGTGACACTTTGACCGAATTCAGCGATGTACTGGTGCTGTTGTCTTTCTTGGCACTCACTTGAACCTTGCTTGGTTTACCCGTTCCATAAATTGAGCGTAAAATCGATTCTCTATTCTTAAAAACACCCGACTGATTGGTTGGCTTCTGTTTGGTCGCTGATTTTGTCGTCTTTGTTGTCTTCATGGCCATCGGTGAACTGGTTTTCACTGAATACTGGGTCGATAATACAACGGTCGTGTTCAGCGATGCATTCGAATTTTGTGACATCAATTTCCGTGCACTGGTTTTCGTTGGATTATTTTTCGCTTTTTGTTCTTTTACTTCGGGACTATCCACTGCATTGAATGACTGCAGCAACTTGCGGGGAGTGTTCATCTGGTTGTTTCGATTCTTGCGAAATTCATTCAATGACATCGGATTTCTGAGCGGTGAACAATTTGAGCCAGGATTTATACCATTTGCTTGCATATGTTGGAGCAGCATTGGACTCGGTTTTTCGATCGTGTACGAATTTGATCGGATTAGCCGTGCGCCAGATAATTGACCATTTGGAAGAGGTGAAAATGATTCGCGACCCGACATCGGCGTGAAGTACAGCGATTGATTCCGACTTTCATCCAAAGCTCCCAACGATGGTGACGAATGCAGTGAAAAACTGGGTGAAATCATGTCCGTGTTGAATGTATTCAAATTTGCATCAATGGTCAAAGAAAGTGGCACAATATTCAATGACTTTCGGTCGCTTTGCAACTCTTGAACCATGGCCTCCTCTTCGTTAGCCGTTTCGATAGTTGACGTTGCTTCAACAGCTTCGTTCATTTTACCAACAATATCGTCTTTGAGCGTCGATATATTGTCATCAAGTAGACTATCAACCGCTGCTGAAGTGTCGTAGTTTGATACACTGCACTCAACAACACCTTTGACCAATGTTTCATCGATGTCACTTGCTGCCAACTCAGTAGATGAAACTTCAAACTTTTGTTCACGTCTCAGTCGTAGTCGACGTTCAACCTCCATTGCCAACTGTCTGTCATGACTCAGCTCGATGCGACGATCGTCGTCAATCTGAATGAAAATAGAATGAAGGAAAAAATGTTGAAAAGTTTCGAACAAAAAATTGATATGCTAGCTATGATCTCAAGGATTAATTGAATTGCCTTCGATTGAATATATTTGAATTATTGGAAGCAAAATTTTGAATTGGATGAAATTATTTGGAGTAAATACCAAAATTATTTCCCTAAAAATAATCATATCAATTCTTCATTTCATTTTGAGTGACATAAAAATCGAAGAAATTATGCTCAAAATCACAAATCAGATGAACTAAAAATGTCCTAATGCATGAAATTGCGTCTTTGTATTGAATATGTTCAAACGCTCGGTTACATTCCAATAAATATCGGCCGATATACTTCATCTTCATCAAAAGTGCTGAAATCTAAAGCCATTTCAAAGTTCAAATAACTGTTCTATTAAACGCATACGACCCGGTCTCCACTTAAAAAAAAATAGCCGTGCAAAATGTTCAACACTACAAAAACTACTTACAACTGGTGGTAAAATGGGTATTCCATCGATTTTAAAAACAGACACATAGGAATCGCCTGCCTGAGACATCTTCCCGTGCACACAAAATAAATGCAACGATTTGTAAAAAGTTTTAGATGAAAATAAAAATACGTTAAAATATAAATTCGGCTTTGTTTTGATTACTTCGATTGAACATAGTGCTTCTGGCGCTCGTTGCTTGTACGGTCGTTGTTTCCATGACAACTGACACATGTCAGTATGTCAGACTGGCGAGTGCGTTCACTCATTGACAATTCAAGCGGTAGTTCTTACCGCTCGCAATGACATTTAAACGTCTCAGTTCAATGTGCGCCAAATTTTCAGTTGATCGAAACAGAAGTGTCGAAATTTTTGCTTATATTTTGGTCTATCGCGGATTTTCCCACACCAATTTTAATTACACGTGCGTATTTTAAGAATACTTTCTGAATTTTTGACGTATAAAAATGTGTCGATTCACATCTCTGAAATTTGAAAAAAATTTAACGACTGTTATGCTCGTTCTTTTTTCCGCTCATGTAACCTAATCTGTCGTTTCGCGCAACGCGATTTGTCAAACGTCATATCAGTGGTATTTTTTTTTTGTCATATGAATGAAAAAAAAACTTTCTTCATAATTCTCGCTCTCTCGTGTATCGGAATGTGTGCATAAAGAAAGCGATGCCATCAGGTGAACGAGAATTTGTAGAATTTCATTGAGTGTGTAAACGATAGCCATCCGTTTATCGGAACCAAGTTCCATTCATAAGTGCATTATCAAATTAACTGAATCGTTTCGATTTCAAATCAATCGTGCTGTGTGCAGTGTATGGTACAGCAAAAATCAATAATCACTTGATGGGTTAGTCAGGTTCGCGTAACAACATTAAATATTTTCGTCGGATTTTAAAGTGATCAGACGTTTTGTCAGTGCTTTTTCTGCAGTCTATTGGATTGAATCGCTGTAGATTTGTTTACGTGTCGAAAAATTAGTCTATTTATTCGGTATTTTTGGTGAAGAAAACATGTGATGAACCAACGCTCGCGATGTGTGTTTAACCAATCGATTTTCATTTCATTTGGCTGTTCTTCACAATTGAATGTTCAGACAAGTCATTTTTTCTCATTTTCCGAAGTGATTGTACTTTGATCCGTCGAAATCGTTTTTTCATCGCCGAGTTGTTTCTTTTTTATCAGTGGGCATCAATCATTGTTGGGATAGGTTAAGAATTTTAATTGAGCGCAAAAGCGAATTGGCAAACGTCACTCACATTTCACTTGTCTATTTATATAGCGTGTAGTGGACATGGTGAAAAGCAAAGACAAAAAATTATTCGATACAAAGTGAGTGCTAACTTTCGAAAATAAATAGAGTACGACCGTAAATTGCGTCGACCAACACAGGGAGAAACAGAGAGATAGGCGGAAAATGTCGTACACAGAACTCGAAAGTGGATACCAGGGACTTCGTCAACAGAACCAGAATCGACCAGGATTTTATGTGGGTCAAGATGGTAACATTGTTCAATACGTAAGTTCTTTTTTATATTCCAAACAAATTGCCGAATTACACGATATGAAACGACGTTTTCGTGAAATTGAAAACATCTGCGCGTATGTTTTGTCCAATACGTTTTTGCGTGTTGCTATGCAAATGAAGACAGTGAAATTAGTATACAATTTAGGGATCGATAGTCTTTTGTTATGTCGGTGTCTAAATGGTTTTCGGTGCAAACAATTGCGTCTTCTTATCGCTATATTTCGCCTTGAGCAAACACACGCGATTCATGCAATATTTGCATGACAATCCCATGTACCGCACTCGTGCCCGTTTCTGTTTACCGATGGAACATTTTTTCGTTCATTTACACCTTCAAAAAGGATTGTTCCATGGAAACGCGAGCTTGTTTGGCTAATTCATTTGCAAATAGAAATTCGAAGCCTCATGCCAAGCATAGAAAGCGGATCGATAAATGGGAAAAAAAAGTTACATTTTGATGTAAATATGAATAAAACCAACAAATAAACGAAGAAAGAACATCGAACAACCATCACAGTGGAAAAAATTGTAATAATATCACGTGTGCTATCTATCATCCAGCTGCACTTCATGCCACAAAATGTTGATAGGAAGCATTCAATCACCCGAAATATGAGTGAATCGCATGCTTTCTATCGACCAAAGTGAAAAGAAGCGAACGAGTCAATGAACAACAGCGTATTATTCATTTATGGAATGAACAGCTTCGATATGCAGCACATGTGGTCTCTATCTATCTGATTGCGAATAGATTAGCAATTAAATAAGAAGTTGCTGATTCGGTGTTTGTCGTTACGAACGTGATTCTCGCCCGAACTGAGAGCACGAAAAAAAGCGATGGGAAAAACACAGATGAATCGCAAAACAAACATGAAATAAGTCAAATGAAAACAAATCGATTTGCTTACGATCTGTTTGCCGCGGCACCAATCAAATAATTCGCAAAATCAATGTAAAATAGCGCCGTTCTCTAGCTTCTGTTCCTGTCTGAGGTTTATTTGCAAAGTTGTATGCGCTGTGCGGCGTAACGGTGGCGAGAAAGAGACATGGTGCTGAATAAATTCGCTATTTTTCTCTCTTTGCACATATATTTTGTTGTTATTGCTGCTCACATGTTAGCGCATCGACAGGCTATTCGCAAAGATAAAAAGAGACAACCGAAAATATAATGACAAACCGCGCCAAAGAAAAGCGCGCTGTGGCACAAAGCGTTACACCGAAAGATTTCTTTAAACAATCTAAACGTTCTGTTAAATAGTAAAATCGCTGTTAAAAATAACTCAGTCGAATTCAGTTGATTGCGAAAGTTAAAGCGTTGTGTGTGAATGTGACGATACAGTTGTTCTTTTGTTTTTCATCTGTCGTGTGTGAGAACGGTTCTAAGTGTCTTCTTATTTTTACGCGATTTTCCTTTTTTTATATTATTGAAACTTCTGGACTACTAACTTTCTTCTATCGATTCGTTCGTGTGGAAAATGCAATTCTGACACCGTAAAAACAATTACAGTGAAACGAATCAAATAATCCTCTAAAATAGTTCCATCCTCTGTCGTCTGCCGTGTGATAAATGTAAAATTTTTACTTCTCTGAGGTGAGGTGAAGTGAAGTGTAAATAAGTAACGCAGTGAGAATTCGAGGGAACAGGAGAAAATGGATTTTATTTTTGATTACGATGAGGTTAGTGAACTCTAGATATGCTTTGTCATCACAGAAATTTACTTTTATGTGTGTACGATTCGTTCAAAGCTATCGATTTTGTAGATGAAGTGTCGTTGTTTATGGGTCAATCACAATGCATACATCAATGTGTCAGAGTTTGTTGCACGAAGTCATACTTGGTTCTTCATTAATGAATGCATAAGCATTGAAAGAAATTCTATTGATGTTACAACTATTCACAGTTTGTTAAAATGAATGATTCACAATTTTGAAAATATGGAATGAATAAATTAACGATTCGATTCAATTTGCGCCGAATACACTTCAAACAACCTTCAATGTCATTCACGCTCACAACTTAGCACATATGTCATATGTATGCATACTCTTGTTTTGAATGACTGAAATGCTACATTTAAAATGTGGAATCGAAAAGGAAAAGTGTGTGACGGGCGCAGTGTGTGAAAAATGATGAACGAATGAAGAAAACGACTTGCAATCAGTCACAATTGGAAGCGCGCCGTTATCAAACTACACTTCACTTGAGATGCTGCAAACTACTTGAGCTGATGCTTGTTCTCGGCAGAAGCATCAACATTACAATAGATAGATATATGTTATGCATGTGACGTGAGATACAATGCCGGTGTTTTGTTTACCTTTCTTTCTTCTTCTCTCTTGCGAATTCAATATACGAATACAACTATTTACGTAAACATGAACTTGAATTTATTCACTCACTCACTCATACTGACCAATGTTTTGGCGTGTGCGATTCAGTTGACACCACACAGGCTTGCCTATTATCACATTCGACCAATTGCTTTTTGGTTTTGATTAATGCGAAGTAGTCGAACCAGTGACGGACTTTGTTGCTTCGCATATACAAACGACACCGTTGTGACTGTATGTACAAGTACGTTGCGTACTCCAAATTGAATGTATGAATGTCAAACATGCGAAAAAAAGGCTTATACAATTTTGTACACGATAGCCAGGCGCACATAACTCACATGCACAGCACTTTATCTTCTCCACATACACTTGAGCTCGTTTTTCGAGAGCAAACGGCATGATAAACGACCATAATTAGCCAAACAATCCAAAGAAACTAGATAGTGACCTCCGCACAACAATGTTTCGAAGTGTTTTTCTCTTGCTTTCATCGCAGATTAAAATGGCTGCAAACAAAAACAAATCGTCCTGCTGATAACGACATTCACCAAAAAATCCTATCTCAGATTCTTTGAGATAACCGAATAATTCGATAGAGGGGAAAAAATATCGACCGTAAAATAAAAAGTTGAAAAAGTGTGTTCATATCCATAATAATCCGATAATAATTTGGTGCAAATATTTAGAAGAAACTATCTATCGAAGGTGAAGTGGTTTTCGTTTTCTTGGTAAAATCAACAACCGTTCATCCGAATACGCCCAAAGTTTGTATTTTTTTCCCTCCGTAACGTCTTGATATAATCTTCAATTTTCTCTTGGAATGTGGTTGGATTTGTGTCGAGAGTGAATTATTTTTATAATTGACTGTTTTCCTTTTCGATTTGGCCTCTCTTCTTCGTTCTAATGGGAAACGTGTATCGAATCACACACACACTCTCACGACGAGGAACGCAAAATATATGAAAAAAAAAATCGGAGGGAAACGATCAACACGACATACAATCAAATAAAACCGTAAGATTTGAAGCGAAACAATGTTACACAACGAAATGAAGCAAAACAATAATCATAACAAACGTACGGATGCACTCACACATCTATTTAAACTCTTGTTCATTCGTTTGCGTTGACTCCGTACATACAGCACACATGTGTGAACGGAGAGCGAACCATATGAAAACGTCGATTGAATGTCGCTAGTCGGGATTCAGTGACTGTGTTGTGTTGATGTTGTGCATACGAGCAAACAAAACAGTGAAAGAGACAAAGAATACGAAAAAAGAAGAAAAACACGTACATAAAATACACAAACGAAACGGTTTGAAGTGATTGAACAGCAAACATTATTTCCAATAATATAAGCGAACTCTCTGAAAGCGCGCTTGACATTTTCTAATCATGTGTTTTGGTTTTTAGTATGGGAAATGGCATACGAACGGCCGGTCGTTTTGCGATCTATCGCGCTATTTACGTTTCATTCGGATCGAATCGACGATTTCGTGTAAAAAAATATTATAAAATAAGAAATTCCACACAGTAAACAAATTAATCAAACATAACATCGAGCTATTGAGATGATGAAATAAGACGACGACAATGACGACGGAAAAAAACGCTACAAAGATTACACGCGCGACTAACAAAGAGTAAATGAATATTGCGTATGAATATTGAAAGTGTCCAAATCGAAAAGAAATTCATTGCATTTTTGTGTGCTACTAGTTAAACCTGATTCGAGGTGATACTCGTTTCGCTATATGCCACGACTCTATTTCGACGCCAGTGTAATTAATCGGATTAAAAAAAATATTGGTAAAAAAGGAGAACGGTGTATTGAACAGTGAGTGATGTGTGTGATATGGAAATTGATCGGATTTCGGAAACGAATTAGTCAACGCTTTTTTTTTGTTCAGTTCCTCTCTCGTTGTTTAACTACTTTCGCGAATTCATTTGCTAGGCATTTGTGTTCATTATGTTGTTGTTAATTACGCGTGCGCCCTCAACGAACTACTGTAAAAACTCACGACTTTTATGTTGTTCATAACAATTTCGATGAGCAATTATTTCGTTTTCTCTGAAAATAACACGTTCCGCTCAATTATTCGTGATTAACGAAAAATTGCAACAATGTATTCAAATCCGTAGGAATCTCTCTTGGCTGTCGTTCATTCATCTTTGTTGATGAATACAAAGAGCAGAAGAAAAAAGTATCGAAATCCCAAAGAATCAACGAAAAATCACATGAAATTGTATACATTAATCCCAGAATGTGTCGACACATTCTTTATGATTTGTCTCTTTGTGTGTCATATGCATATATGCCGCAGTAGCAACAACAACAAAGAGCGAATAAGTATGAGGGAAATAAAGGAGTCGTGCATGAAATTTTGAAGAAACAAAAAATCATTGAAATCACTTAAAAATAGTCATCGACAAATGTATACACCATAAAGACGCACATCTCACGGACTTATGTTTTTGTTCTCATTCTTATTACCATTCTCAATTCGTTTTTGTTTTCTGGCACAGCGACGCGCGTAGGGAACGAAAAATTAAACAAAAATCCCATCTCTCATCAACAACAAAGTGATGATGATCATGAGAAATAATGAAACGCGATGCCTTTGTGTTTGTTATATTGATGCGTACTTATATTAGAGCTGATAATATGCGTACGTTCAGCTCCTTCTGTGTACTTGAATCAGCTTTTGTGTCTACGCAAGTATGCCATTAAAAACGATTTCAACGATAATTACTGATTAGTTTTCCGTATATTTCAGCGTCATACACATCTATATGTGAAATATTGATTGAATTCGTTTGATGTGAATGTGAAGCACATAGAGTAATATCGAATGAAAACGAAAACAAAAAGAACCTAAACTGATCGAATCGAAGATGAATGCGCTGATATTTAGTGTGACGCATGAATCTACCTGGCAAAAAGGTATGGAAAATTTTCAGCCAATTTGCCCAATAAAACATACCAAAAAAAATGCGTAACATTCATTATATCGAAATGGCAGCATCGAAACTAGCAAGAGAAAAAAAAACACATCACGCACTTCTGGTGTGTTTGTATGTGTGCCGCATAATTTGTTTTCGATTTAATCTGTTGAACGCCGGCACTGAAGGAGCCTCACCAACGGTGAGATATAAGTTTCTCACGCATTCGATTTGAGTACAAGTTTCACACACACACACACACACACACACAAAAGCGTATCATACGAGTTCAAAATCGTGATGTTATTGAAGTTGAATTATGTTTGACATCATGAATAAAAGGCAAAGTGGTCGATTACCGCATACACACGGTGGTCGGGTTCCCTTTGGAATTACGTTCGTTTCATAACACAGCAACAACAAAAAACCAAACCATGGTAAACATTTCCGAGTCTCAATGTCAATGCTCATTCACCGATACACGCACATACCAACACACACCCAACGCCGCTCAACGGCCGTGCGGTTCAAATAAATTGGAATCGAATCAGCTGTCGCCGTCGAATGGATTTCAGTGTGTGTCGGTTGGCTTTCCATTCGGTCATATATGTGGTCTAAATATGGAAGAATTGTATGATTTATATCGTCATAAATAAATTCATATGCACGAGTTCGAGTCAGCTGATTTGTCTTACCTCATTCCGAGTGTTTCTTGTTGTCTGCAATGCACAAGTCACGCTAATTCCATTTAATAACCATATTTTTTGTTAAATGCTTTTCTCGCGAATTGTAATAAAAGCACAATTTAAAAGTCCAAAATTGCACGGATTTCTATTCGATTTTTTCCGACGAACGAGTGGAGTTATTTTAGCACGTTAATTACTTTGTCACTGAATGTGTGTGTGGTCGTCGCTGTCGCCACAGCTGCCGCCTTCACGGAACTTCACATTTATAGCCGTTCAATAAACAGTTTCAATTCGATGTGCTGTCATGTGAATCTCTCTCTCTCTCTCTCTCTCTCTCTCTCTCTCTCGAACGCTCATGAATTCTATTTACATTTTGACATTGTGTGCTTACATTGTGCGCGATGCATGTTCATTTTAAAACTGAATGATGTTCATTACAAATTGTGTGCAATATTGCTCCCATTGTCGAATAAATCCAGCCGATAAAATAACTCTATTTTACAACGACACAATTGATATCAAAACTACATAAAACTCATTTTACATTGTCATTAGCAGCGCGGTGTAGGTTAAGTCGACTAATTAGAATAATTGTGTGACATTTCGATTAGCAAATTATAATTAATTAACAGCGGAAAGACAAAAAATAGAATGAATTTTTTGTGCTGTCGCTGAATTATGTAAAAAAAAATATGTGTGTGTGTGACTTGACTCGGTGGCTATGCGGTCGCGCATGATTCTAATTTATTGTTGATTTTCTCGTGGATTGGCATAAATTAGATGAAATGAGATACGGTTATTATGTGCTATATGCCATGTGTGCCGTGTGTGTGTGTGTGTGTGTGCGTCGAGGAAATGTTGTTATTTACTCAGTTGTGCTAATCCTTGATTGAATTTGAATATTATGATAATTTGTCAACGGCAAACTATTTCATTTTTCTGCGTCAGAGAGAGAGAGAGAGAGAGAGAGAGAGAGAGAGAGAGAGAGAATAATAATTACATCCAACCTGACATTGCCTCGAGCGGCACCAGTGGTGAAAGGTAAACGACTTTGAGATTAGGTGTAAGCGAATGCAATATTTTACTCGTCATTATATTGCAAATTCTAAGTGCCATTTCCATGAATCTGTTTTTTTGTCCTTTCGCGCACGATTATTCGGCTCAATCGACACATTATGATGTGTTTTTTCGTCAATTTGCCGCACCCAATAAAGGGAACAAAAATAGAAGATGTGCAAAAAAATAGACGAACTGGTTTTATTGCATCAAAACTAGAATTGCATTTTTAAGTGCCAATAAAAACATCATAAATCTATCATCGTACGTGACTGAATCGAAATTGTATTCATTGAGCTCCGAAAAAGCTGTGTCTGAGAGAGAGACGAGAGGGAACCCATTCAAGGAACACAACAGAGGCATTTGCGTGTTTTTTTGTTTTTTCATTCGTTCAAACACTTGCGAATCGAAGCGTTCAATGCGCAACGTTCAATTTGTGTGTTTGTGATCAAAATCGAATTCAAATCAATTTTTTTCGGTATCGTTGGCCGAGAAATCTCGAGTTAAAGTTAGTCGACAAATATCTCCGAACAAAACCAGACCATAGAGTGAGAACGTGTGAAAAACCGAATTGAGATAATTCGAAACTGTTTTCATCGCAATTTATTCGATCGAGAGAGAGAATGAGCAACAGTGTTCAGTTCGTTTGTGTGCCTGACAATTTTAATTTATTATACAGAAACTAGAACAATTGATGACGCGAACGGCTTGATAGCCAAAACGACAAAAAAGAAGAAGAGACATTGTAAATGATATATGCGATAATGCACAGACAATTAAGGTGCACCATTCAATCAAAATAGAAAAAAACGGACGGTGACGCACATGGAAATTGTGCAAAAGTGAGCAGTGGTGAAGAGAAAACGCGAACATTTTTTTATCCTAAATACTTAGTTGTGTTTATGCAAAGTGCATTAAGAAAACAATGGAATGGTCGTGGCTAAGGGATTGGTGGCGATTAAAAAGACTCCGTCACTCGCAATTGCGCCATTCACATGAAGACATTTATTACGGTCATGACAGTGAAGAAGAAGACGACGATGAAGATATTTGCTATTGTGATGAATGCGTCAATGTAGGTTTTTATTTCAATTGTGTGATTGAATTCGAAAAAAAAAATGAATATGATGAACGTTATACGATCGCCTAGTTCCATATCGTATGTGCACTGTGTGCATTTATTGTGTACAAATAATAATTAATTAAATGACCAATTAATCAAGACTGTGAAAATGTATGTTTTTTGCTCGATTGTTCAGGGTGACATTGACCTGTGCGGAGGCGATCCCAATGATGGTATCGATTCAGATTGCAGCGCATCATCAAATTCCGGCAAACAGGTGCTGGTCGGCATCTGTGCTATGGCCAAGAAAGCACAATCTAAACCGATGACAGAGATATTGACACGACTCCGCGAATTCGATTACATTCACATGATCGTTTTTGAAGAAGAAGTTATTTTGAAGGTTGGTTTAACTACATCACATTTATCAAATTAGCAATTACTCCGTTGGGTTGATAATTTGTTTTTCTGATTTCATATCAACTCTTATCAATTGTGATACTTGACAAACATTGATTAATCAACGATAATATAAAATAACTTCCGTTGTTTCAGGATCCCGTCGAAAAATGGCCAATTTGTGATTGTTTAGTATCATTTCATTCAAAAGGTTTCCCACTTGAAAAAGCAATACAGTATGCACAGCTACGCAAACCGTACGTTATCAACAATTTGCACATGCAAATCGACATTCAAGATCGACGAAAAGTCTATTCGATGCTTGAAAGTGTTGGCATTGAAATTCCACGTTACGCCGTACTTGATCGTGATTCACCCGATCCAAAACGTATGTTACAACACTCATATGGAACATGTTATAAATAATGATACACAATAAGTTATTGAATGATACTTTTCTATGGAAACAATTACATAAATATATCTTTTTCCAATTTTAGAACACGAATTAGTCGAATCCGAGGATCATGTTGAAGTAAATGGAATTATATTTAATAAACCTTTCGTGGAGGTAATAATTTTAGCATTTTCGCTACTTTTATTTTTTGCAAAACGATCAATTTATTGAATGTTTTTCCATATAGAAACCTGTATCAGCCGAAGATCACAATATTTACATCTATTACCCAACGTCAGCGGGTGGTGGAAGTCAACGACTGTTCCGCAAAATTGGCAGCCGAAGTAGTGTTTATTCGCCAGAATCTAGAGTACGCAAGACTGGTTCATTTATTTATGAGGATTTTATGCCAACGGATGGTACCGATGTTAAAGTCTATACGGTGGGACCCGATTATGCACATGCGGAGGCTAGGAAAAGCCCAGCACTTGATGGGAAAGTCGAACGCGATAGTCAAGGCAAAGAAATTAGATACCCAGTCATTCTGAGCAATGCGGAAAAACTCATTTCGCGCAAAGTGTGCATGGCTTTTAAGCAAACTGTTTGCGGTTTTGATTTGTTGAGGTACGAATTTCCCAGCGATTATTGATTTGGAATTTTTATTGAAATTAAAATGAGTGTTGCTATAGCGTGTTTTGCAATGAAATTCAATCAAGATGTTTGTTCAATGTAATAATAATTGTTTTTTTTCTTGCTTTCAGAGCCAATGGCAAATCGTTTGTATGTGATGTGAATGGATTTAGTTTCGTTAAAAATTCAAATAAATACTATGATGATTGCGCCAAAATTCTCGGCAACATGATTCTGCGTGAACTCACTCCAACCTTACACATTCCATGGTCGGTTCCATTCCAATTGGATGGTAAGAATTTCTGAACAATGATTTGCAAATTTTCTGAAAAATCGAAATGAGTTTTTCCTTAAAAACAATTCAAGTTTTACATCGAAGTTCTTTCTAGGTGCTTGCATTGAGCAATAATAATATTTTTTTGCTTTCAGATCCGCCAATCGTTCCAACGACATTTGGCAAAATGATGGAATTGAGATGTGTCGTTGCGGTTATTCGTCACGGTGATCGTACACCAAAACAGAAAATGAAAGTTGAAGTCAAACATCCAAAGTGAGTTGAACTTCTAGAAATATTGTAATTAAATTAACAAAATTTGGGAAATTAAATTAATAAGCTTGATACCGCTTCATTCCAATTCAAGATTGAATTTTCTTCAAATTCTTACCTGTGATTTGCTTTCAGATTCTTCGAAATATTTGAAAAATACGACGGTTACAAGCATGGTCATATTAAATTGAAACGACCCAAACAGCTACAGGAGATTTTGGATATTGCACGATTTTTGTTGACAGAGATTCAAACTAAATCAGCCGATTCGGAAGTTGAAGAGAAGCAAGGGAAATTAGAGCAATTGAAAAGTGTTTTGGAAATGTAAGACTTTTTGTGAATTTTTTCTTGTAAAAGATTAGTTAGTTTTCAATTCTGTCATATTTTTTTTGTCTATTGACTTGTCTTTTTGTTTCAGGTATGGTCATTTCTCGGGCATAAATCGTAAAGTACAAATGAAGTATCAGCCGAAAGGAAGACCGAGAGGATCGAGTTCAGATGATGGTAACGGAAATAGTACTTGTACGTTCGGTTACATTTTTTAGATGTTTTGTGTGTGTGGTACATCCCTGTAATCTTTTCTCTACCTATCCTATCCAAGCACTCTCTAAAATGTTCTCTATTCGTTAGCAAATGTGTCTATTATCACTGCAAAAATTATTAATTCGACCCTTTTCTTCTCATTTATGATATGTCAAGGTGACACCAAGGGGCCATCACTCGTTTTAATCCTTAAATGGGGTAAAGATACAGTTTGACATTTTCGCTATGTTAATAATATGTCATAACCGATATTAAATTATTAAGATAAAATCTTATTAAAATGTAACGGTTGATAAATAGCATGTTGCAAAAGTGCCTCACTGTCATTTTGTATGAAAATTCTACAAAACGATTTGAGCGCTGTTCGTATGATTACATGACGGCTTTCATTTGAACTAATGTGAGGTACATTTCAAAAGTAAATTGCAACATGCTATTTGAAAAAAAAAATTTCATACAAAAAACTTGTCAGTTTTTGCCAGTCACATTTTTGTTCAACATTTTTTAGGTCTGGCAAATTTTTTTTTCAATTTCATTAACCGTATTTCTTGTTATTATGATATATGTTGGCGTTAATAGTTTTAACCGAACTTTTAGTTTATTATTTATTATTAATAATATATATTTTATTAACGGGAAAATTGTAGGTGGAGAGCTAACTCCTGGTACGTATTATACGTTTTTAACGATTATACTACGCATATGTTTAATATACTACATAACTTTAACTGTAACATTTAACATGTATTATTTGTTCATACCAGCGGGACGAATCCAAGCGGAGGAACTCGGAAGAATATTTCGATGTATGTATCCAGGTGGTCAGGGTACTTCCAGACATGATCAATCTGGTACACAAGGCTTGGGGCTGCTTCGACTCCATTCAACGTTCCGTCATGACCTAAAAATATACGCATCCGATGAAGGTCGTGTGCAAATGACGGCGGCCGCTTTTGCAAAAGGGTTATTAGCTTTAGAAGGTGAATTGACACCGATTCTAGTACAAATGGTTAAAAGTGCTAATACAAACGGACTGCTGGACAATGATTGTGAATCGAGTAAAGTGCAGAATATGTAAGTGCTATTCAAAAGAATAAAACGAAGTAGATTTTCCTACCACTATACTAGTAACCAAATTTAACCGAAATTTTTGATAACAATTACCCTGAAATCGAATTTAAATCACTTTTAGGGCAAAAAATCGTTTACACGAGTTAATGCAAGCCGATCATGATTTCTCGGACGAAGATAAAATAGCAATAAATCCAACGAATAGCATCAGCATCAATCAAGCAATAAACTTCGTGAAAAATCCATTTCAATGTTGCACCCATGTGCATGAGCTCATCAAATCGTTGCTCACCATTATCGGGCTGAAAAAGGATGACCCGAAAACCCGTGACGCAATCCTTTACCATGGCGAAACATGGGATTTAATGTTAAGACGATGGGGAAAAATTGAAAAGGACTTTTATTCCACCAAGAATAAGTTTGACATTTCAAAGATTCCGGATATTTACGGTTCGGATTTTATTTTAAAATGAAATCACAATTAAACTACTAACAACTTTGTCTATCATTTTCAGATTGCATAAAGTACGATCTTCAGCATAACCAACATACACTCCAATACGAACAAGCCGAAGAGCTGTATTTATATGCCAAATATTTGGCCGACATTGTGATACCGCAAGAATATGGAATCACCATTCAAGAGAAACTGACAATTGGAACGGGAATTTGCACGCCACTATTGAAAAAAGTGAAAGCCGATCTGCAGAGGAACATTGAAGAAGTTGGGAATGAGAGTGTAAATCGTTTGAATCCACGGTATAGCCATGGTGTAACTAGCCCCGGGCGACATGTTCGCACTCGACTCTACTTCACCAGCGAAAGCCACATTCATTCTCTGTTGACGGTGCTGCGATCGGGTGGTTTAGTAGACGTTATGACTGATGAACAATGGCGCAGAGCCATGGAATACATCTCCATCGTGTCCGAATTGAATTATATGTCACAAATTGTTATCATGTTGTACGAAGATCCAACGAAAAACGTGTTATCAGAAGAACGCTTCCATGTGGAATTACACTTCAGTCCGGGTGTTAACTGTTGCGTGCAGAAGAACCTTCCTCCAGGTATGAAAAAGGGAAGGAAATTTCAATTCTATTGCTCATCATTTTTGTTCTTTACAAGGCCCTGGCTTCCGACCACACAGCAGAAATGATTCAATTGCTTCCAAAAATACGGTAAAATACTTGAAGTTGAATATCAAAGTTGAATTCGATTAATCGATTTATTTTGAACCTTTCCAGAGTGGCGAAGATGATTCAGCGCCGGCTCGAATCGAAGAGGAAAGTGACAGTCCGATAGATGAGCAAAAGAAAACGGTTAATCAAAAATCAGTAATATTCAACATTGTAAGTTTGAGACAATGTCACTGACGAAACTATGGTTTTTTTTTCAATCTATGTCTTTGAAGGGTGATGAATCGACGGATATGCTGGAAAATCCACCGCGAATCGTAAGCAAGCACCGTCATTCACGTGTTTCGAAGCCAATTCCAATTGGAATGCATCACACTGTATGCGAGAGATAAAATAATGTGCAAAAATCTAATTAATAATAAAAATCTAATTAATAATTAGGTATGCGGATCGGAAGCGATCAATCTGGCAAAACGTTTAACCGAGGAATTGGCCTCGCAACAGGTGGCTCAAGTTGGTTCATTAGGCAATGCTCCGACGATTGTATCAGCACAAAACAGTCCCGAAGAGTTGCGATCACGTTCACTTGAACAGGGTGAAAAATCCAAAGGTAATGCTTTGCCGGTTGTTTTAGCGCCATTTCTTTTGTTCTAACCGCTTTAGGCACGTTTTCGTCGTTAGCCTTAACCCAAAACCAAGAGAAAAAAGAAATGATTTTTCTAAACGAAAATTTGCCAACCAACTAACCCCGATCAGTGTTTCTCAATAGCTGATGATGAAAACCACAAATGATCGAAATTTAGCTAGATACTTAAAAACCAAACGAAATTGATAAACGTTAGCCTGTCGATAAACCCTAACCATTTCCAGTCCAGAATTGGCGTGGATGCATTGCATGCTAAACCGATATAAATTTGCTGTTAGTTTTTCTTGTGGTTTTTTATTTCGTTTGATATTTGATTCGGTTTTCTTTTACGGTACCGAGAAACAAAACACTTTTTTTCACTTCCAACTTCTTTCTCGCTAAACAAACAATCGGGAGTTGAGTTATTTTTTTTCCAATTTCAAATGCTTAAGGGGTATTTCAAACGACAACTCAAAAACTTAACGCTTTATTTACTAAGTAAATCAACAACAAAACCAATTGCTATTACAGCCGGCTATTCGCGCTACAAAAGCCTCCAAGCTGTTAACAAAGAAGGTAAATTCAACAATAAATTAAGAGTTTATTGCTATCACACTCTCGATATCTTCATGCGAAACACAATTGATTTGGGGAAAAGTAGCAACCATCCATGAACGAAACAGTGGAATCAACATATGTGTTTTGGTTAAATTGTAACAATTGAACTATAGCATTCTTTTAAATTCTCACTCACTCCACTGTTTCGTTCATTTTTTCATCAGCTACTTTTGCTGGGAATAATATATGACTTCGATTTTTGATGGACTTAAAAAAAATACGAACGCTAGCGAAGCTCATTTCCATCATTTAATGCTTAGATGCAGCGTGTTGTTTTTTTTTGAAAAGTAATATTTTTTTGGGTTATTCTTTCGAAAATTTTGAACAACAAAGAAAATTGGTTCATATATTTTTACAAAACAAAACAAATCAATTTAATTTTTACTTTTATTTTTGCAAGAAACGAATTCAATCACGATTAATCGATGAAAAAAAAAATATTTAAAGATATCTCATCTGGTCTAGTTTTGTCCGTGTCTTTGGAATTTAAAATTGCCGGTCAAAGTGATGATTTATTGGCTGGCCGCTGAGGAATGGCTTTAAACGATGATTTTTTTTGGATATTGTTGCTTTGAATATGAATCAGTGCGTTGTTTTGGCTTTAACCCCAAAATATCATACTGCTTCAGTTTAAAGCAGTCGCAAATTCAATTTCATACGTTTCTCGCCGAGCAGCCAATAAATCCTTAACGAATCAAATCATCTATCATTGGAAAGTTCATTTTTCTTTTCCTTTACGTGTTATGATCTGTTGAATCTGCATCACATTTGCAAAAAACACTCAAATTTGCATTTTTCCAACGAAAAAAAAAAACGAAACAAAATTCTTTCCAAATTTCCGGAATGCAAATACAATTGAAATATGGACAAACCCAATGGATTTCAACCAACAATTCGGTTCATTCTATTCCATTTCTTACTCTGGGAATTCCATTTAAATGTACCCCTTAATATGGCATGTGTATTTCGTGCATCTAATTAAATAGAATTAAATTGCGTATTGTTTATATCCTTCTTTCGTAAACAAAAACAATAATGAATATGAATATTCAAAATTAACGGAAATTGGCAAATGGTTTGAAACCAAAAACTAAAACAAAAGCAAAAAAACGATTATATTGCGATCAATTTTCCTGGTAGAATCAGTTTGAGCATGCAGTCACAAAAACAGCACATGAATTTACGTTGATATTGATTGGCTTTGATAAAATTTGATTGCTTTACACACAAACTTTGTTGTTGGGTGATTTCTGGTGTTTTCTTTTTGCTTATGGAATTCTAACAAGACTGAACAAAAGCACACACGCCACTTGGATTTGCTGCTTGATGTGTAGTACATGAACAAACAAAACAATTCACAATTTTGAGCAAAAATTCAACATCTTTTTTTCTTTTCTTTACTTTCTTTTTATTCCCGTTGATTTGAATGCGATTCCTAAATGTTCAATGTCGGATTCATCACGAAAATTTCTTTATCTCTCGCTCGCTCGCTCAATGGCTCGTTCTCTATCTCTCTCTGTCTCTTGCTCTCACTCAATTAACATTACGTGCTGAACGTGTGTGTTCCACTAATACTAAACAAAAATGTTGCTCTAATGGGAAAATGAAACAAAAAATTCTAAACCTCTTGCTTGAATTCATGGTTTGTTCGCGCCGGGGTCGCAATTGAGCAGTATTCGATCGTGATTTTGATCCGTACAAAGCACTGTCTCAATCGACTCAATTAACCGCCGCTTCGACCTATGAGTCAGCCACGAATGAGCTACCGCTTTCACTAATCTCCTTTATCAAGTGCCCTGAATCACCCGAACCAGAACTTTTTACTAAAACCACTTTTGACCATTACGATTCAAATGTAGCATCCAACCATGAAATGTCACCATCGGCTACAAATGAACGCCCTCTATCATGTACATGCTTACCAAAATTGCTAACCGACAACGATGATCCCGTGCTCACTGCAACGCAAATGAGTTCATTTGATGGTGACACCGATGAAGAATTCCATTTCACCGAACCCGTACTATCGGCTTCGTGTCCCCTGCCCCATGGTCATGGTCACTATCCATCCAATGAAAGCCACATTTTTTCAGCCGATTTCAAAGAACGCCTTAACGACTATCACGCTTTTCGCGAGCAAAAAAAATCGAAGCCACCGCGCATTTTTATTAACGATGCATTGCCAAAAATGTCCGATTTGAAGGCAATGCGAAAGGCTATGCTTAGCAGCGATGTGGCGACAACAACGGTTGATTGCGGTGGTAGCGATAATAGTTTACCGAAACATTCGGCCATTGTTGGACCACGTGAATTGCAACATTACTCAAGCAATTCGCATGCATTTTGCAAGCATCATGTGCATAAAAAGCAAATCGTCACATCATCGCCGCAATTATCGTCCGATCCCACTACTTCCAATTGTAGCCATGCATACACATTAACAAAACAATCAAATTTATCAACCTCTTCTAATTCTACCGCTTCTAATATTGTAACGAATGTTAATAACACGACCATACCTCATCCGAATATCGTAAAAATACATAATTCAGACGCAACACAAACGACACAATGTTCAACGGGCCGACGGCAAAGGCACAGCATCGGCCAGATGGGATTTTTTAAAATTATGGATATAGCAGGCGGTTTTGGTAGAAAAATGGCCAGCACAAATTCGTTGTTTAGCACGGCGGTCATTAGCGGAAGCTCATCGGCACCAAATTTACATCAAATCAATACGGCATCACCATCAGGTATTTTTATTTCATCCAAATAAATCTTCAATAATTCTATTTCTTTGATTCGAATGGTTCTGTTTAGATATTTTTCACAAATTATTTTCTCCATTCAAAATTTAAGTTTTTTTTTTCGTTCGATTTGTTTTTGGGTCTCCAAAAACTGGTGATTATTGAAACACATTGTGTTTCATATTTTGTATATAGATTCCGTTACTTTTTTTTTGACTTTTCAACCTTTTTTTTCCCAAATTTGCTGATTTCATATGCACTGTTCAAAATGTGTATACAATGCAAACATTGTGTGTTTATTGTTCTTGTTTCGTCCTCCCGTTCACTTTAGACGAATAATTGATTCAAATTGTAAAAAAAAAAACCATAGTTTTCCATCACTTTACTTTTTCATTGTGCCGCAAGCACAAGACAGGGATTTTTGTATAGCAAATATTCATTCTCTGTGCTTTTGACTATGTTGAACTAATTAGCACTCAACCCTAGAGACAGTCTCATAAATAGAACTAGATACTGATTAAAAATTGTTCACAGCACTCGAAGGATTCTTTAGCGGCGTACCTCCGATCAGGCCACTTGAAACGTTGCACAATGCATTGTCGCTGAAGCAATTGGATGCGTTTTTGGAGAAAATGACTACAACAACCATATTCAAAACACCAGCCTCGTCACCGCCAAAATATCCATCGACTCCATTGCTTACACCAACGCAAACGCCGCACAATTCCCTGACTGAAAAGACGCCTGGCCCGATGACATGTAAGTTAGCAAAGGATGAAAACGATGTAGCCGAACAAAAACTGCCGGAAAATGACGAGGCGAACAGTTTTTGATCACCAATTTATGCACGACATCAGTAGCTAAATAACAAACATTTTTTTTGTTTGGGGCCACTCATTTAATCTCATCATCATACTTTATTCTTGATACAAGGAAATAAAATGAACCGAGTTAATGTCTAGTACATAAAATAGTTTTCCAAAAAATCCAGCACGCCTCTGTCGTTGTTAGCCAATTGTTTAAATGTGCTTAGCACACAATTATACATATATATATATACTAGATCAAGTATGTTACCAGTTACCTCGTTATATGTCATCCAAAATATAGGTGCTAGACCTATTTGCATATCGTTGCCTCTCAAAATCATCTTTTATCAAACTCGATTTATATTATATTTTTATAAGGAGAGAACAAATGATCTTGATTTGCTTGATAAATTAAGTAGATGAGAATGACTTGAAATTTTTGTTTCTTCCGAACAAGTAAATTTTAATTTATTGCGAGCGGTTTAATTGATAAGACCATAGTTTATGATTAGTTGCAACAAAACAATGGAAATAAAAGACAAACTTATATTTATTTATGAAAGCCCATTTAAATATTTGCATTTTCTGCTTTTGTGCTCATTCATTTGATTTGTTTTTTTTTTATATTTCTTGTCAACGTCGTGTATATTTTGCATATTTTTTGGCGAACCATTTATATTGGTCGTGGCGCGTGCGCTAGAAAAGCATGAAAAACAATTTAGAAAGAAGAGAAATTTTTTTTCGGTTATTTTGTTCGGCTGTGTGTCAAAAGGTAGGTTAGCTGGCATGGGTGATGGGATATATTCGCTTTTTTCATTCCACACTAAATTTCTTTAGTTGGTTGATTGATTTTTTTTGTTTCGGGTCCGGTGTACATTTCTTGAATTTGGTATTCTATTTTCAATTTGCTGTTTGATGAACGTTGATCGGGTAGGTTGTTGGAGTGGCCAATCGAGCATGACAGGTAGTTTCAGTGCGATGTCAAGTGGTGGACCGTCAAGCCCCGAAAATAGTATTTCAAGGAGCGAATTGTCGGCCAGCATCGTTAGTAGCGAGAGGTAATCAGACACCTCTTATCCATATTTTCGTTTTGTAAATTTTGATCAAATTTAATAATATTGATTGCTTTGGGAAATGATTTTTTTTTAACAACATTTGTTGTATAACTAACTGGTTATACTAAAATTATCTCCTAATTCAACAATAAATATTCCTCTCATTTATCGCCTACAGCGTAAATTTGCCGTCCGTGGATGCGCTTTCGCAAATGTTTCCAACTTTAGACGGTGAACTTGGATCCGTTGCGACTCACTTTCGCTTTGATCATTTGGTGGCAACAGCTGAAGAGTCAACTGACATGGAAAATGATCTAAAGACACCGTTGCAAAGCATAAAACAGTTCCCAATAACAACGGCTCCAGACGAAGAAGACGATGATTCAACAATCTCCACTGAATGCTCCACCATCCCAACTGAAACCAAACCAATCACAATTCAACACACGGAAGGCGTAATAAGCACCGCCACGAAGATGCTGGAAGAAATAATCAACAAAAGTTCCCCGAAACATCGTCCCGAACCGCTTCTAGACATCACCAAATGCACATTACCGCGCAGCACCAATTTCCAAGTACCAAAACAAACGAGTATACACGGCAGCGAATCGACGTCATCCGTTGGTAGTTCGAGACCAAGTTCGGGTATGCCACAGTCAGATTCAGTCAACCGTTTTCCTCGACGCAATTATGAATATTCACGTTTTATGTCGGTCGATCAGCGCTCGATTTCTGACACCGAAGATAATGTTGACATCGAATCGGACTATATTAAACCGAATGACAATAAAACACAATCTTGTGCGAACATAAAATTGTCATGCACATTACCACGTTCTCCCGGCGCAATTGTCGTGAAAGAAAAATATATTGAACTCCCAAAGCAGAGGGCACACAGCATTCGAACCAGTTCAACGTCGACTAATCAAGAAGCAGATAGTTCAATGAGATCAATATCACTGACGTCATCAATGGAATCGGTGGCACGATTGCCAAAAACTACGAAGCCCAGATTCACAACGACCAAAGTCGATGAATCACAACTGGGCGCGTCTGTCTTGAAGGAAGTTTAAATGAAACCAGACAATAAAAATTCACGCTAAATTTCTTTTTCGTTACTAATATATTTTATTCAACGTCCTTTTTTCTGTTTTCTTGAAGCTAAATGATATTTACAACTTGAAATGTTACCATTGTATTAATTCGAAAGTATTATTCGCTGTTGAAAATAAATCGTTAATGTGCACCACTTTTAAGAAAAAATAACACACAAACCAATACTCGTTACGAATTGCGTTCTTAATGGATTTCTGTTGATTTCCTTTTTTTTATTGTTTACTTCTTTAAAGTTTTGTTACAGAATTTTACATTTGGCCCGTGCTTTTTGTTGTTGTTGTTGTTGTTGTTGTTGTTGTTGTTAAATATTGCGTTCATTTAAATTATTTATTTTTTTTTAATATTTTGTTTGATCTAGTCGAATGAAAATCATCTTAAACTAAATTTAGAGTGCAGAGTCTTCTCTCATCATCTAACTATTCTGAGTAAATATGCTATGTATTAGCATATGGTTCGATATCTAAGGATTCTGCATCTCTTTACTGGCTCTGATTCAATCTGGTTTTGAATGATTTTTCCTCTTTGATTTATGAGCGTCGGAAGAGGACGCTGTGTAATGCATCAATGTCAATTTCGACTTTGCTGGATTTGGTCAAATTGCTGCAAATGGAGAGAATGAAATTGAAAATCAGGGTTAATGAACTTTACTTTAGAGTTGGGGCTGTTTCAATCAGCTGACTTATATTCGACTTTGCTGTTTACCTTTTCGTTGGTTTGATAGCTGGAGCAGTTGGTTTGTTTGAAGAACGTGGATTGACCAGCAAGCACTTCATTGGTTGTCCATCTAATTGACGATTATGGTAAGTATCAACAGCAGTTTGTGCGTCCTTCAATTTCTCGAATATGACCTCGGCCACTCCGGTGCGAACGAGCCGAGCATCAAACAGTGGGCCGACATCTTCGAACAACTCCTGCAAAGAAAATTGAATTAATACAATCATTTATAATATTCAGGCCTAATATTATTAAGCATTTACAAAATTGAATGAATTAGAACGAAACAAGATGAAAAACAAAAACAGCAGTTCACCAAAGTGCTTTAAAAATCTAACCTTAATATCGCTCTGACTGACGCTGCTGTGTAAATTGCTGACAACAATGCGATATCCAGCGTTTGTGACGAGTCGTTCGCGTGAGTTGCTGGCGTATGGATTCGTGAAAATACCAGCTGACTGTGTATTATCGGGAGCGCGTTGCAAACGGTTGCGCATCTCATGTGATAAGTGTGAATTTTCATCGGCAATATACCGTTTGTTCGACATCAAACTGCTTCCGCTTTTGTATTGTGATGGCAACGATCGTTCATATTCCAAATTACTTTGACGAATCGATTTGGGTTGGTATGAGTCCATCTGAGTACCAAGCACTGATCGGTTTAAATTGCGTGGCTCCGAAACGTCATACGGACGTGCCACTGGCACCTCATAGCAATCGAATGGATCAGCTTCGTAGTCGACCGGCCGAGTGGCTGTGGTCATTCGGCGTGTAGGTTCAATGTACTTGAACGTTGGCAATGGTGGCATTGTGCTGGTGCTGGGAACATATGCGATTTCATTCTTCACCGTACGTCTCAAGGTAGTCGAGGTCGGGAAATACTCCATATCATCCACATCCATGCCCATATCATCGATCGAGACAACACGAGCTTGGTATGGTTGAGCACGTTTCAATGAGGAGGCTGCTGCTGCAGCACCACGTTTTGTTTTCAAACCACCGCTTGGATTCGAAGGGCGCCTCAATGCACTGACAGCTCCATCCAATTCACCGACTTTCTTCAAAAAACTGATATTCTTCTGTAACAATTTTAGGCGTGCATCACCACTACGTTTTGCGATTTGTGCCAATTTATCACGGGCATCATGAATCTTAGCGCGATTCTTCTGGATGATTTTATTACGAGCATCCAGAACCGGCTTGGCTTTGACAACTTGTTTCGGTGCAAATTTCTTGACCGCACCTCCGCCGCCACTAGAACTACTAAGAAAAATATGTTTGACACACATTAGTCACATCACACGCCATTCGTTTATTTGAAAAAACAGCAATTTAGTACTTACATCGGATTCTTGGTTTTGTTGATCGGTTTTTTGTTGCGAAAACCACCTTTTGTGATCTTCTTCTTCTTAATAATGTCGTCAAGACTTAAGGCAGTCGAATCCATTGTTTTTTTTAAATTGGAGACAGAGAAAAAAAAAATCGAAAACGAAATCCCGAAATATGCAAATCGATACTTTACTGTCAAAACAAACTCCGTTTGCTAACACAATTTCCGCACTGTTTTACTGTTCACACCGAATTTACGAGGGAAAACGACTCAAAGTTCGATTGAAGTATTAAACAACGTTTGAACTAATTGAAATGTTAGATTTTTCTTCAAAAAAACAAAAACTTTTCACAGCAATTTGCTGCAGATGGAACCTATTTGAATCGATGATCGATGCACACAGTACACGCATCAGAAGCTGTTTGTGTGTTGCTAGCAAATGCACCGATTACAAGAGTCTGTCACTCATTTATGCACACTATTTTACGTAGCGCATTTTCGTAACTTTGACACACACTCATTTGGTGTTGCCCGACGCGAAATCGTAATGAAAAGGCTGCAGAGAGAGAAAGAGTGTGTGTGTGTCCGAGTGAGAGAACGAGATTCAGTCAGTAGGCTTGTTTTGGTCATTTAATTATTTCCTGGTTTCAATTGAATAACAATAAATTATTAGCAGTTTTTTGCGCTTTTTTATCATTTCCCTTCGGAGCATAAGCAATTTCCGTAGTTCAAGAGATTGGGATAGTTCGATTCTAAATATCATATAAAAAATAAATAAATAATAAAATACACACCAAAAATCAAACGGAATTTCATTCAAATGTATGGTATTCGGTTGTCCCAAAAATGTCGATAGAAAAATTAAACGCAATTATTGGTAGTGGCACGTGTGAAAAGTGAAACTAGAAAGTAGTAGCTTCAGTGTCAAAAGTGTTCATGTGACATAATATTTTTGTTTCAATCGCACATCAGTCAATAGCGAGAAACATCAAACTCAACACCAACAAATTATTTCGTCAGACAAAAGAAAAGAGACATTATTCAACAAAAAAAAAATTTTTCTTCTCGTCATTGCTTCGTTTCGTGTAATTGCAAAATTGTGTGTGGAAAATAAAAACATTTTGATGGAATAGAAAAAGAAGAGGACTTGAAAACGGAAAAAAGAGCAGAGCAAATAAAAATCCGACAGAACAAAGAAAGAAGAAAAAAAACAAGCAACAAACAAACAAATAGCCTTTAAGTGTACAGAACATTTCTATTTAATCAATTTTTTGTTAGTTCATCGTTCAATTCAATTCTCTGTTGTTGCGCGTACATTTGTGTTCTTTCTTCGCTTAGAAATTAGTGTTACGGAATATTTAGTTTCAACGTGATAACAAAAACGAATTCATAGAATAGATTTTAAAAGGAAAAAAAACCACCAAAATTAGTCTGTAAATATGTAATGATTGAGAAAGAAGACGAAAACAAACACCAAAACCCATCCACAAGTGCAGACGCAATTGGCTACTATTTTCGCTGTGTCTATCCAATATATAAAAAAACGGAAAAAAACGTTATTCGTAAATTTCATGGGCAATTTGATTAGTCGAAGTGCAAATCGAACCGCACACGAAGAACAGCCACCACATACGAATTCAGCAACAAATACGAATCGCATTCGATTTTCCGCGTCATCGTCGTCATTAGCGAATTTCACGAGCAAATATCTCTTCAGATCACGTAGATCGTACTCCTTATCGACTATCAATCCTATCGCTAGCAGTGAACAGCCAACAAAAACATCGCATCAGGTAATTAGACGCATTTTACAGGGAAGAAAAATGAAAAACCAAATGCAAAATAAGCTCATTACGAAAAGAAAAGACGCATTAAAAATAAATCGACTGTATATGGTTGATGGATTGGTGTTTTGCCTACAAATCCCGATTCCCTTAAAAAAATGGACGGTTTTACAATTTTTACTTCGCATTTGTTTCGTCGTCGTCGAAGTTGTGACGGTGATTAATGGCTTGCTGTCCGTGTTAGTATATCCCTGTGTGTGTGCGTGTTTTATTTTATTTTGGATAACAACAACAACACAAACGCTAGACATTGAAAACTAACAATGTTTTTGTATTATATGAGATAGACATTTGTCCAGTGGCTAGAACGAGACAAACGTATGCGCGACGAGAATGCGTGCTCGATTTGTTTCCAACACATTAGAACATGTTTTTTTCGTTCGTTCGTTCGTTCGTCTCTTGTCACAAAATTGCCTCATAGATTTCGTTGCTTCACCTTCAGCTGGTTTTCTGCGTCGAAATATGTAAAACCGATTGAATTATCAGACAATTCAGCTAAATTCTTATGACATTTTGCAATATCAACACGCAATTTGAATTAGACAATTCACAACGAGAAAATGATGTTGTTTGCGTTTTATTCTGTCGTGACACAGAAAAAGGTCACGATTTCAAATTATTATTGCTTTGCTTGGGCGCGCGCGAGAGAAAGTCGCTTTTGACATTTGAATTCTATTCGCTCGGCTTCGCCAATTGTGAACAAAGACACCAATACAAAATTATTAGAAAGTTGCCGACATCGAGTGCGACTGTATGAGATCCATACAGTATGACTTGCATGTACATAGACGGGAATCCATTTGCATGTTTCGGTGAATGGAACACTTTTGTCCCAAAATCAGCTGTTCTCAAATCGTCTTCACATTTCATTCGAAAATAACAAACTCGGTGACATACATAGATAGCGGTGTTGTTTATGTTTGTCTTATTTTTTGTTGTTGCATTTTACTAATTTAAATGTTTGTTTGTTGCCATTTACAGCGCTTTGGATGGAATTTTGCCATTTTAAATCGTAACGCATCGAATTTGATTAGTCGCAGTCGTAGCCGTTTAGTCAACTTTTCACGATCGCTGCCACACATCACTCTTCCACACTTTTTAACCAGGTAAATTGTTGACATAAATCATTCTAATCAAGTATTAATTTCAATCAATTGTCAGTGATTCTAAAACATTCCTTCCATTTCCTCCAATTTTCAGATCAACATCAACTCTATCGCCGGATGAATTAGCCACTCAAAGTCGCAGCATTTGGCCAACACCAACGATTGTCTTGCTATTTTCGCCGCAATTTAAGCTCATCAATCTCGAGTATTTGAATGAAACGTACAAATTCCATGGAGTAATTGCGTCTGGTGCATTCGGTACTGTGTATCGCGTCATCGACCGCAATGAGAAGACGGAATTTGCATTGAAAGTTCTCGAAAAATCTCAGGTAAATGATCATGAGCATGTGTGCTCGTCCATTCATTGTTGAAATTGAATATTGAATTAACCGTAACCGAGTTTCCGTTATATTATTTCATTAGATCATCCGAGATAAAGCGGTGCGGCAATTGAAGAATGAAGTGGACATCCAAAGCGTATGCGGTCACAACACGTTCATTGTTAAGTTGATAGCATTTTGGCAATCGCATCGAGAAATTTATTTGCGTAAGTTGAACACTCATGTGATTAGGTCAATTGATTTGATTAGCCCGAATTTGGAGTCAACCAAAGTTAATCATCTTCTACGTGTCTCTCTCTCTCTCTCTCTCTCTCCTTTCTTACAGTGTCTGAATATATTGGTGGCGGTGAACTGTTCGACACAATTCGTAAATTTCCGTACAAATTGGTTCAATTGTATGTGGCCGAAATCGCCGTTGCTCTAGGTAAATTGACAGGACTCATTTTTATTGAACGTACATGATTTGATTAAACTGAACCATGTGTTTCTATTTTTTATGTGCGTTTCTAGACTTCCTGCACAACGCCGGCGTAATTTATCGTGATTTAAAAGCCGAGAATATTCTTCTGGACGACGCTTTTCACATCAAACTCACCGATTTCGGATTGAGTAAATTCTTAAAAATTGGACAACGCACTCACACACTCTGCGGAACACTACAGTACATGGGTACGACTTTAAGACTTAACATACACAAGATTAACAAATACCAAACACAATACTAAACACAAAAGAAAAAAAACAATCCAACTGACACACCTACATAATTTGATTGAGTGAAAAGTAAAAAAAAATCACCAAAACCGAACATGAATGCACGATCGCAAGTGTTTGAATTGGCAATGGAAGGTCACCAAGTCGATGAGGCGCTGGCTTCGATTTTCCACACGATTTTGTTCCATCGAAGCCTCGGCAAGTTTGTATATAATGGCGAAACCACTTATTCCGTTGGTTCAGTTGGATTTACTGATGTAGATTGCAATTTCTTTGACATGACTTATGTGTGCTGCACATCCGAACAGCTCGATCACACGCTCAAACGTGAAATTCGAGCATTTAGCGAACAATTGCGTAGCAATGACAGCCTCGGCACCGGCCAAATAACGCTTGAATTTTTTGAAAAGAAAAAACGATGGGTACGAACACCGGAATCGGTGCCATGGGAAATTTGGACCGTTCATTTTGAATTGCTACATCTAACCGATCCCGACGAACGGATGTTCCAACGTGAACGCGTCAGTGAGGTATTGACCGAAAAAATTCTCTATATCACCGATGTGATGAACAAGCAAGATTATCTGCCGAAAATGCCTAGCCAATCGGATATTGATTTTGTGTTTGACACATCATATGCCGACGTGCAACCATACTTATTCAAATGTAAATACAACACAGCCGGACCAAGTGAATCGTCCGTTGGCCACTCAATGAAAAAATTCATCAAAGAAACCCTCTCACTTTGACTATTAGCAATTCGAATTGTGCTACAATCCTTCCTCATGTTTTAGACTCACACACACACAACTAATTTTTCGTTTTTTCTCTTTTTTTTGAAAATTAAATCATCATTATTGTCGTCAACTGTGAACTTTTTTCAAATTTTATCGAGCATCATTATTATACTCGATTTTTTTTTTAATTTTTAAAATCAATTGACTCTTTTCAAAACTAATTGGAACCCACTATTTCGTTTTGATAAACTGCATAAATTTATGTTCTCATATCGATTAGATTTGGTATTTGTAAGTGATAAAAAAACAGCAGAAAAAAAAATCATACAAAAAATATCAGATGTTCTCCGTAGAAATTAGATTAATGCAATTGAAAAGGAACATAATGTGCAGAAAGAGAAAAGAACGAGTTTGTTCTGCGGGCATCTCGCATGATTCGTTCAACTTGTTCACTTCATGCAATCCAATCAAATCAAAGCCAAATTCCAAAGACATTTTTGGCGGCCTGATTAAAAAAAAATCTACCCACAAAATTAGCGCTTAGACATGAACAGATAAACAAACCTTTAAGTAGATTTACTTCGATTTAATGTGATTTAAAAAATGCAGAAAAAAAACAACAAAAAACAGATGCAAACAAAAATTGTCTAGAGTTATGAACTAATTGTGAAATATTCGTGTAAATTGCTGTTCATAATGCGGATTTAAAAAATAATGTATTAATTTTAGAAACAAATTGGAAAGAAATTACCAGCTGGCATAATAGCCGTATCGAATTGAAAGTTGAACTTTTGAGGCAGAGACAAAGCGAAAAAGAGTGAGATTATATGGGGAGAAAAGTGAAATACGAGATCAGGCCATTCGTCGCCAGGAACTTGAATTTGAGCGAAAATTACTTGAATCGTTATGAAAATTGTGTTATAGTTTATTTTTTATTTACATTCTTCAGTTGAACTCGATTCGTTGGTGAAAGAGTGTTTCGAGTCGAAAACTTTCGGCGAATTGGCGGCTGAAGATGCTCTATTGCAATTGTGTTTACTAATTTATGTGTTAAAGCTGGTGATAGAAAGAAAGCAAGCAATTTTCAATTTTATCGAGTTTCCATCAATTTGTTGCATATTAAACACCTTTTTCATTTTGTCATACTGAACATATTTGGTTTCTTCGACTGACGAAATGTTGAAGACGAAATTTTGAAGTCGAAAAGAAAAAAAGGGGAAGAAAGAAAGAGAAAAATAAGAACAATTGATCGAACATACGATCGTATACAAATTATTAGAACATTTTGTGATCTGAATAAAAACGAGCTTTGAAATGAACCATATGCGATTTCAGAAAAAGAAGAAGAAGAAGTTCATCTTTCAATTTGATATGGTTATTAGTCAGAAACACTTGAACAACTTGCTATTGATGAAAGTGATCTGGGTAAAAAAAAAACGAAGCAAAATAGATGTGACACAAGAAAAAGATAAAAACAAATGAAAAAAAAACACACAATATTACAGTAATATAAATAACAACAACAGCAAAACATAGTACCATAAACATAGGTTTAATTTATGCAACAGACATAAGAACAGAAGAATATAACCGCAACAATAACGAATTGTACAAGAAAACGATGATGCAAAACAAGTGAATAAACAAACAAAAAATGTTTTATATTTATTTTAATGAAGTAATCGAGAAATGATTCAAAATGAATTAAAATTTTCTATTTAACAAAAATCAAATGATCCGATTGTCTTTTCTTCTCTTCGTATTCCCCCTTCTATGGTATTGTGCCATTGTTTTTTCTCTAACAAAAACTTGTGCTAACACTATGCCTATCATTTTTATGAATTTTGTTTGGTGTTTGGGATCTTGATGTCTATGTTAATGGTAAGTATTCGATACCAATTTTAAAACGTTCTTTTTTTGTTCTTTTTTCCCATTTTTTGCGGATAAAATGTAGCACCGGAAATTCTTTTGGCAATACGGAGCGGAGATTTTGTTGAGTATGATCACTCGGTCGATTGGTATTCGTTGGGAGTAGTCGCGTGTCGAATGCTAACAAATCAGGTACGAATAATGTTTTTTTCGTTGGTTTTGATTGATTCACCAATTCAAGGCCTATTCAAAAAAAATTTTGTATACATTCCAAACAATGAATGAGACTGGCTCATCGCACGTCTTGCTGTGATAATTGAAACCAACTCTCTTCTGGTCGAACACAAAATATGAACACACATGTGTTGATGACACAGCACAAATTGCATCAATGAAATGTTTTTTTTTTCGACTATCCGAAAAAAAAAATTGTTATAACAATCTGACGAAATCCCCGCAAGCTAAACTACGGAAGCTTGTTCTAGCACAGCTATAACAAAAGTAAAACAGTGCAAGTGAAAAATGAACATTTCAACAATCAGATCACGATCATGATTTGCATTCATTTCAAACTTCAACCACTTCCCAATACAAACTGTTGACAGAAGAAAAAAAAATGAACACACACACACTTCAACAACGTATCGCACAATAACGTAATGATTGCGTCCATTAAACAGCAACAACGACTCGCCATTCCGCAGCAAGTGTAATTTAGTATTCTAATTACAAAACCAAACCCGTTTCAATGCTGAACTGCTTTTGTCAGTTTTGATCATAGCTTTTGTTTGTTTGTTTCTTTTATTTGGCGATTTTTCCAATTGTCAGACTGTCTATGACGGTTTTGAACTCTGAGCCAGACACTACACGACCATTCACAAAGTTCGTGGATTGTTTTCGCATGTGTTTCGAATCGAACTTTCGATAAATTCACTTATATGTGAGATGCTTATAGGTCAAGCATTCAAAGGTAATTTTAACAATAAAACGAATATATTGAATTTTGGATAAATCAAACTGGTCATTGTCACCGAATTTTGAACCAAGCATAATGGCGCCACTGAAAGTTTGTTTATCTCGTTGTGGTCAATCGTCAACAAGTAGACAAAGTGATTCATCACCATCATTACCATTTGTATATTCGATGTATAAATAATAAATCATTTGCAAATCAGCGGCGGTTTTGCGTTTTACTGAAGACTTTGGTTTGAAGTAAAGTAAATATTTTGATCTTGCTACGTCCTAGCTAAATTTAAACAAACGTTTTTTTTTCACTCTTTCGAATAACAAAAGCAGTGTTGACGAAGCGCCGGTTCGCTTGTGAACTTGGCTGTGAATCATACCGAAAGCGAAGGAATGTCGCAAATTTCGTTCAGAATCGAACAAAATTGCTTCAGCTCTGGATTGCAACAACAAATCACGAAATAATTTTCGTCAAATACTATCTTGACGAATGACTGTGGAGAATTTCACAACGATGCGTTGGAAGACAAGTGCTTCGGCTAAATGACATTAAATTCGATGTAATATGATTGAAGCGAATGAAAAACGCCGACCGAAAATAAACTTGATCAAAGTAAATGCTCAATGGAATTTTACCCGACATGAACTCGCCACTCGTCGTTTTATTGCATGCCATTCTTTCAGCTGGGCTGGTCTGCGTTGCTCCACGTGATCGCATTTGATTAATGTTATCATTCAAACATTCTTTGATGAATTGCCGGGTCCATTACTGATACCATTTCATGTGCATCAAAAATGAAGCTTTTGCTATTAAAACTTCAATGAAAATCGATCCATTTAAAGCCTAAAATTGATAAGGCCCATCAATATTGCTTGAATTGTGTATCAGCCTATTAGTGTTGCGGTCAGAACCCAGATATTTTGTTTCGAGAAATAGTATTTCTTATCGTTCGATCGCATTCTTACATGTGAACACGAACGTTTAAATCAAAATCCATTAAGGATTTAGGGAAGATTCACTAGGGAAGATTTACTATCCAAAGAGAGAAGAAAAGAAAAATAAAGCATTGAATAAAAAAAAAATCATTGGAAAATATTGATTTAGTCAAATTCATCTATTCAGATGAAACTTTCCAATCCAAAACCGTCTCTAGCCACTGTTCAGTCCATTTTATGAATTGCTTGAGTTTCGCGTACGTTCTATGTTCTGATGCATCGCGCAATATTTCGCAAAGTGATAAAAGCTAGTTTAATTTGATTATCGCAGTTTGCAAGTCGTTCGTCAATCATTGTATTAACTTGCGATGAAGCGTTTTGTGTTACGCGCATCGAGCAATCGTAATTCACACTGATAGACTTGTTGTGATCTGCATGCGACGCTATTTCAACGGAATAATTTGCTCTTTTTTGTTGTCTAATTCAATGGGATGTGTGTTTGGGCGTGTTGTCAAGAGCGAGGTGCTAAAATGATTTAGTTTCTGTATCAAATCTTTCCATCTTCAGGAAGTTTGTCGCTATAAACCAATGAACTTTTGCAATATGCTAATAAAAACGAACATTTATGTCGATTTAAATAAATGAATTGAGTCCTTTATTTCCTTATCATCATGTTACACGGACAAAAGTTTTCCATAGTTTTTACATTTAAAATTCAGATTCTAATGCTGCGTTCTAATTAGAATAGTAAAAAAAAAGAAGTATGTGTGTGTGTATGTGTGTGTGTGATGCTTAAATGACTTATATTGTGTTGCGTTATATTTCGATTAAATTTTTGTTTCATCTCTGGAAAGCGTTATTGCATTTGATTGTATCAAATTGAGTGTAATCTTCTGACCTTTTTTTTTGGGCGACGGAGAAAGATCGAGAAAATCGAATCTCATATTGCGACATATGGTTGTGATCCATTGGCCAGAGATTCTGTGTGAGATGGTAATAATTTTTTCAAATTTTCCAATTGGCATTCATTAAAGCCGTGCAAATGGAATAATGATTATGTTCCGTCGGCCATAAAACAGTTCAGTTAAATTGCGTTGGTTCTCGTTGTCCGTTATATTATTTAATATGCATAGCGGCATTTTTCATTATGTTAAGATCGAGAGAGAGGGAGAGAGCGAGCAAAAGAGTATGACCGCAGAAGACAAAGCAGACAAAAGAGTGTGTGTGTGTGTGTGAAAGATTTAATATTCGCAAAGGAAGAATCAATCATGGCCCATTTCATCTGTCTTCGTCTCCGAAAGTACTCGATCAAGCGATTTGATTTTGATAAGATTGCACGTCATGCTTCTCATGCTGTCTAAGATTTATAATTTTGGTGATTGTGCACTTTTTGATTTCTTGTTTGTACTGCTAATGTCACTCAGTGTGCAAATTGCAATTGAATAAAAAAAAATGGAGAATTACTAACGTATATCGAATTGATTATGATTATTATTACGGAATGAATCACATTTAATAAAATACGTAAGACAATTTGTTTTTTTAAAGAAATTATAATGAAAACTTATGCAAAAGAAAACTGAAGAAATCCTACGACAAAGTCAAAATTAATCTATTTTTTTAAAGATGAGCTAAAATTTCGCCGATTGTTTGATTTTTTGTTTCATCTTCATCAGAAAGTCTATGGTACGATTGATGACGATCGCCCATCCAGAAAATGTTTTTGCAGAAACTCACAATGATTCCGTTTTGAATTGGTTTATTTCGCTTTCATTTAAAATAATAAGATTAAGAACAGGATGAGTGTGTTTTTTTTTGTTTTTTTTCTCTGTTATTACGACGACTGTTGAACTTCCGGATGTTTAGGCATCCTTCTTCTTCTCTGGTTCTTCTTGAGATTCTTTTGATTCTTCCGAACTACTTGACTCCTCTGAATCTATTTTTTTCTCGCTGCTTCCGCTGCTTGATACATCGACTGGAGCAACCGTTGGTTCAACCGCTGAAGCGGCGACGATTGGCACAGCCGTTGGGTCTTGTGCACTTCGTTCTTGTGGCTGAGATTGGGCAAGTGCCTGAGCTACTTGTTGTGGTTGTTGTGGCTGTTCTGGGGCGGCTTGAACCTGTCCAGCTGGTACTGGCAAGGCTGATTTTTGCTCTGGATCTACAACGGCAGCGGGTTGTTGCACGTTTTCGGATACAATTGCAACTGGGGCCTCTGTTTAAAACCAAAGAGCAAATACGAAACGTTTTAGTAAAAAGACAGGGATTTTGGATTTTCTTTCGTTTTTTTTTTTCTCAATAAAAGAAAATTATCAAGTTTTGACATGAAGTTTGAAAAAAGGAGAAAAAATAAAGAAAAAAATGGAAAATTAAGAGAAAAAAATTTCTTTGCTAACCTGCGTCGATTTTCTTTTCGCTAGCAAGTCCGGCTGGTACAACGGGGACAACTGTAGATTCGACGGCTTGTTTAGCCTCTGGAATAGCGGCAGCAACGGCTGGCAAAGTTGGAACAACTTCAACTGGTTGTTGAACGGCGACTGATTTCACACTTTCGGCTGGTTGTTGCTCAACCGTTGGTGTAACGACTTCGGCAATGGCTTCTTCTTTTGCTGGTGTGCCTGGTAACGATTTGCCAGTAACTTGTTCTGGTTGGGCGACTTCAACGGGTTTCACAGTTGGTTGTTCAACGGGCACTTCGCGTTTCTTTTCCTCAGCTTTCGCTGGAGCTGGTTCCTCTTTCTTTGATGGCAAAGCTTGTGGTTCGGGGATTTTCTCGAGGTCAATGGGCAATGACTTTTGTGTGGCTGGCACTTCGGTGACGGCAACAGCTGGGACAACTGGTTGTTCTGGTGCAGTTTTTACGACGGGTGTTACATCGGGTACAACTGGTGTGGCCGTTGAAACGGGCTCATCAGCAGGAATCGGATTTGATGCAGCAATTACGAGCACTGCGCTCAACAAGCAAATTTGTAGCGATTTCATTCTAAATTTAAATAAAAAAAAGAAAACAGCGAATGTATTCAGATTCTCTACTTAACAAAAAAAAACAGTTCATAACGATTCATTCATTGCATCAGAGGGAGCTTAGATTAACAGCGTGTGGTAAACAGACTCAATAAAAGAAAGACAGTTTCAACATCGCGTCGCTTAGAACCATTTAAGTAAATTCAATTCTCAAGTCAGTTTGTTTGCCGTGAGTGCGCGGGTTTTGTTTTTCTGTTTGTTTCGTTTCCTTGATACGATACGCCGTGCAAATGCGGCAGATGATGAAGAAAGAGCAGAACACGTATCATTAAAATGGGATGAATTGAATTGAATTCATTCCATTTATGTTGCGTTACATTTCATTTACATCAATCGAATCTAAATATGTGTATGCGCAATGTGTGTACGGATTTGGTCGTTACCTATGATTCTATGAACCGCATTGTGAACTGATGTATGCATAAGCTTTTTTTTCTGCCTTAAATAGAGGCTAATTGCTTTTCTTCTTGAGAAATGTCGTTGGATTAGCACAAAACGGAAGTTTAATCAAAATATTGCGACAACGAACGAAAACTGTATATACAACGAGCGAAAAAAAGGCGGGCAGCAGTAACAACAGCAAAGCTGTTGTGTGTATGCCAAACGATGGAATGTGTCGTGTGAAAGACATAAAAAAAGCATCGCTACCGCAATAAAATATGGCTGTCAACAATCGTTTAAAGTACAAGTTCATGCATTCACGCGTCGTCGCCTGCTCAATGTTCGCTCAATGGTTCAACGCTCAATTGAGTGTGACGTGAATATTCTGGCAATGATTTGTTGTGTGTACGAAATATCAGCTCAGAAGTGTTCATCTCAAGCAATAGATTATGCTAATTTGCATGCTTCTGTGTCTGAATGAGTCAATTGATTGTTGAATGCGTTAAAACGCAAAAATATCGCATTTAAATGGAATGAGTCACTTGAGCTGAGCGTAAAGAAAGTGTTGAAATCAACATTATAATGCCGATTCCGGCTTTTGACTCGAGAATATTCCCGTAATTCGAATTAAGCGCTGTTGTCTAATTAAATGCAATGATAGAATCAATGGCCAATTTTCATCGTGAAAAATATAAATAGCAAAAACAGAATATATCTCATAACGCCAATTGCATTTTGCAAATGAGGCTGGTTTTCCAAACGGATTTAGGCACTTAAACGGCCTTAAATCAATGTTATTTACATAGAAACACGCACGGAAACGGGTCAACGGTGCGAAATGCAAACGAGATATGACGATCGTGCGCGAATCAAACGGGATCCGACGCTAAAAAAACGATATAAACAAAACATGCGAATTGTGGAAGCATTGCAAAGCCTTCGCATGCAAACATTTTACTACGACTCATCATCATCGCATGTTTAATATGAACAATGCGTGGAAAAGTACAGACATTTTCGTCGAGTTTTGTGTATGGCCAAAAATCAGTACACAGAAAAGTGCTAAAAATCGCACAGCCCAAACACGGACAGAAGCGCAGTGTGGTGATAATTTTGTGTTCCGTTTTCACGATCACGTAATCGGCATCATCTTACGTAGTCGAATATGTACTAGCTACTCCTTGCATATCATATAGATATACAAAAAAAATATCCAAACAAAAAAAATACATTACGACAAAACAAATCGAATTCAATATATTTACAAAACGAACGAGACGGCGACGTAATTCATTAAAGAAATCAAAACAGGAATAATCGACGGAGAGAGAGAGAGAGAACGAAATAAAAATAAAATTGTATCGCTGGCGATTTGTCATCTTGATTACAGACAGATAATATCGATGTATGCACATAAATGCATATTAAGTCTACGACCAAAGAATTAATAATTCAACGGTTCAAGCGCAATATGGGTAAAATATGTCATTTTAATGAGCAATTTTATCGCCGTCGAAGATTCTTTACCGCCACCACCGTAACGCGTGAATTGCAGTAATCGATTCCTTGCAAATCGGTTTCATAATCGCGCTTTTATTGAATAATCGCATCAAGAAATATCGACAATCATTTTCGAGCATTATCGAATTACATTAATATTTATAACGCGGTGTGTGTGAGTAAGCGAGAAATGGATTAAATTACAATGTTTTTTTTTCTTCGCCGACGGACAAGGATTGAATTACATTTTCGGCTTTTGGTTTTTTTTTCGTGGAATTTTATGGAATTTTTTTTTCTACCTCATTATTCTCTTATTCGTTAAGTTCTTGCTCAAACTCTAATTTACTTGTCGCTTCGACGAAAAATGTGAGTCATTTTTGGTATTAAATGCTAAAAAGAGCCGTCGTTAATTATTGTTGTTTGTAATGGACTCTTCCTTGTAGTTTTGATGTACACCGCAGGTGTGAAACGATGACTTCAGGAATTTGTAATTTTTTTCACTCTCTTGCTCATTTGTTGGCAACTATTGTTTCGAATTTACGAGATAATAAGGCTACTAAAACGTAATTAGGTGAAAATTCCAGAGCAAATTCAGCGAGAGAATCGAACAATCGTACTTCTGATGCTCCTTTAAGTGATTTATGGCCTAATAAAGTACATTTTATTTGTTTTTCGCTCAACAATTGTTTTCCATCGGAATTATTCACAATTTTTCCGTTTGATTATCAATGGCATTCGTTCAAATGATTACGACCTTTACGGAATTCATGAATGAATTCACCAAGTTTTGCACATGCATTTAATATGGAGATTACTACCGAACTGATTACTTTTGAAGCTGACGAGGCTAATTTAACGAGATTGAAGAAAAAAACAAATTTGAAATCGTAGGAAAAAAGTTTGAAAAATGAATATCGTAGGAAAAATGGAGAGAGAACAAAAGAATTGTCCCTAGTAATGAGTGAAACATTTCAGTTGTGATAGTAAAAATAAATTTATGAATTATACAACGGTAAAGAATTATTTCTTAATTTATCGAAATTTATGACTTTGTTTTCCTATTCTTTTCGACTAATAATGGAAGAAAAATCGCAAAAATTTGCGCATCAATGAAATAAATAGCCGATGAGTCAATAAAAAAGTCACATTTTTCTAAGTATCAAGTATCGATTAGCGGAAAAACACAATTCTGCGTTCAAAACACACAACAACAACAACAACGACGACGACGACAAATTCCGTGTGACAATGGAATGAAAAGGAATTTGATCGGTTACCTAGCAATCGGAGGGGTCCGTGGAAGTGAAAGGAAAAGAAGCAAGAAATTCGATAGAAAAATAATAATGTTGTCACTCACCTGAAATAGATATCTTGTTTGTCCTTTTCACTAGAGAAAAAAAATTCAAATCGTACTTCAACGCACTTTTCTTTATGTCACAAATTCACAGCAACTGTTTAACTGAAAAATTTTTCGGTTGAGAATATACTTCTGATATGTTTGTTTTTTTTGTGGGTCGGTCGAAAAAAAGGTTGACTTCGAGTGTTGTGTCCGTTGTCAAAACAGTATTTGAAATGATTGAGAGTGAGACGTCTGCTTTTATATGCAGCATGAGCGACTATGTATCGGGGCAAACTATATGAGCGGTGACGTTGTCGATGTATTGAAAGTGCTTTTGTGTGTTACTTTGGCCACATCAGTGTATTTGTGTAAGTTGTGTGCGTGCATTTCGTTCTCAATGGCTTGGTGGTGGTGGAGTGGGGCAACGACACGATTACAAAGCACTAAGCAACTTACGAATCCTATTTGAGATCATTACTTTTGATCTTTTCCTTCTTCGTGTGGTTCTTGTTGCCACTATTTTTCTTCTAGTTTATACTCTCACTGTGCGAATTAGGCTTTTTGTGTATGTGTGTGATGCTACTACTTTTGTGCATATTATTTTTTCCCTTCGAAGGAGCTTTAGATTCTTTCGATAGTTTTCTGGTGCTTGAGAGAGAAAACACGCAGAAAATCGATATGCTTTGAAGTACACTTATCGTCGAAGGGAACCTTATAGCGACATAAGAAATCGGAACCGACACTCGGACCGTTGACAAACACTAATGAGAACGAGGAAAAACGTTCACAATTCTCTTTTTTTTTTCATTTTGCAAATACTGACAATGACTTGAATACGGTGTGTGTGTGCATTTGTTTCGATTGAAAAGTAATTTCACTTTTAATTGCAGCCAGACTCGAACAGAATGATCCAAACCAAACAATTATTCAAGTGATTAATTTTTGCTTTGCAAACAACAAAAATAAACATAAATTATTAATACCGATTAATTGAAAAGTAAAAAAAAATATGAATAGCAATTTTATCTGATCTCATGTCGTGGACTGTATTGTTCACACATTGATTTCTAAACGGTGGCTCTTTCGCTGTTTGCAAGGGAACTAACAAGCTGTTCCGAATGACTAGAATTGCATTCGTTTACGAAAACAGAAGAAAAAAAATAACAGAAACCATGAGGGAAAGAGCGAGATAGACGAAAAGTGAGGAGAAACGTGTCGCACTGAAATGAAGTCATATTTGGCTAAGGCGAATATATGATTTACTATCAAAATGAGCCGAATGTCTCGGGCAATTGATTTGTGCATGTGAACGCGCACGGTGTCTCGTTCTCGCTGCGGTCTGCATTAACATAGTGCTAAATAAACATAACATGCATGCAGACAACAACTGGCATTCACAATCAGTCGGATTGAATCTGATTGAATTTGTTGGCTGATGATAAATCGTCGCTTCGCTCTTCGTTATTCTTATGCAATTTTCTTTTGATTTTTTTTTCTGCTGTTTTTCGTCTAAATGTTAACGTGTGCAAAATGGACACGACACAAACGTGTTGCACACACGACACACGAAATGATTTCAAGTCCGTCGCGCTTAGCATCAACAGCGACAACGGCAGCAGTAGCAATGGCACAAAGAAATGGAGACAACGATGAGAAATGTGCGCCGAACCGAACCGCAAAACTCATGCAATTTACATGACGATGGTGGATATTTATCATTGATGCAATGTCTCATGCTGCATGTTCGCTGTGTGTGCACACGCGAACGGCTTCTCATTTTTGTGTTTTCGTTAACATCAATATGTCCATTAAATTATTACGGTCGATGTAAAATCGCGATATTGATGATTACATTCTCAATTAATCGGTCAATAGATTCTTCGGTTTCTCTCGTGTTGTGCGCCTCGAGTCTATATTAGTTGTTACAACAGTATATTGTTATACGCGTATTAAATAAGATTTGTTGAAATGATCGAACACCGATTTCATACCCGATACAATCGTTTCGACGTGGTGGTAATGATGTGCTAGCAGTCATAACCACTTTGTGCCTCACATCCGAGACGTGATATTGACAATATCGGAGAGCCGGAGATGCAATTTTATTCGAACGATTATCATAATCACAACCGGCACTCTCTCAAAAGAATCTGGTTGCTAATCGCATGCAGGGTAATTAGTTTTTTTTTCTCGTTCGATTTGTATGGTTTTAGTGCACCGGATGTTTACTGTCCTTAGAACGGCATGTGAACACACACGCTGAGCCGTCATCGTGGAACCATTTCTTTTTGTTACTAACTCAATTGCCAGCGACAAAGCGTTTTGTTCTTTATTTTCGTTTTCGTACCTGGCGAAGTGATAAGAAAAAGAATTTCTATTTAGTGTTTAAGCCAGTTTAGGTTTATTTTTGGGAAAGAATAAGATAAATGTCATAACAGTCAATCAGAAGCATTACATAGTATTGAACAGTATCGCTACCTGAATTGTTACTTAAACAAAACATTTGTTATTATTTATTTTGAAAATTTTTGTTTTATGGATATACAACATTTGAAGGAAAAAAATGGTTGTTGCCTTACCTTTTCAGTTTTTTCTAATTTATCAAAAAAAAAAGTTCAAGCAGAATGGTAAAAATTCCCAAATAAACAATCCTTAGCGAAATTTTTTCTTGGGTAATTCCAAAAGTCATAAAACTCCTGATAAAAGTAAATGTTTCGCATTTCAAATTATGGCTCAGAAATTGTCTAGTCTCTTTCAATAGTTTTCTTTGATAACGATCACTACACAGTGACTGTGTCATGCTTTCCTAGTGTTTGTTGTTTCTTTTCCGTATAATCAAGTCAAAGTCTATGCCAATGTCAGATTCTTTGGAAAGAGACTTGGAATAAGTTCACCGAAAGCGAACACTGAGTCTTGAAATTTTTCTTTTGTGCCGTCACTAAAACTATTTTACTCTAAAGTGAAATTAAGTTCAAAATGAAAACGTATTCCGATGAGCCGACAACGTTGAGCGTTTTAAGCCTTCTTCAGACTGAAGAAGAGTTTGATTGAATAAGAAAAATGCGTACGCACAATTAAATTTATGGTTGAGCATAATAAATTTGCATACAACTGCATAAAACACGTAGAAAACGACGGAGCAAATTGGAGAGAAAAAAGGGAAAAAAATGTACACAAACATTTTGATTGCAATTAAAATTGATAATAGCCAAGTGAAGTGGCGTAGAAGCCTATAATATAGAGGATATAAAAGAATAAGCGGTGGAGAGTCGGTGCATGTTAAGCATAGATGAAGAAACGGAGACAAGCCATAAAAGGAACAACAGCACATAAATGTGCGCGTATAAAAAAGGGAGCATTGATGCAACATTGAAATATGCTGGTTTCGCTTTCAGGTTCGCCTCCATTATATTCAGTTTGCGCACTTGCGCGACAAAACAATTGCAATATTAGGTCGCGTATAAAACAAATTCGTTTATTTTCAAGACATGATTGCATCGCAATGATGAGAAAACTACGGGCAGCCCTCAACAAGCAGCCAAAAGACAAAGAAATCTTGACAATGAAATACCATTCGCTTGGGAACCACTGAAGATTATCTTTGGGCAAAAACATTGCCATTTATGGCGGTTTTTCTCTGTTCTTTTTCTTTAAAAAGAAAACATTAACCAACGATAGAGATGGTATCAATGGCAACGCAAATAAATTCAACATGACAAGAAAAAATCTGCTGCAATAGCTAGTTTTCGAAATAGAGATAGAGAGAGACAGAGAGAGAGACAAATAGGTGATTCATCATGTCATTATTATTCAAAATAAAAAAAAGAACTCAATTGTATACGACAAAATCATTTAAATTGAATTTCGTTTAGCAGGCAGTCGTTTGTACTAGATGTCATTTCAAATCAATCAGACATAAACACTTTGAATCGAAATTATTTCAAGTTGCATATTTTTTTGTCAAAATAGAATCGGAATTTTTGCACGCAGAAATCCACACGCTTGGTGATAATCGTAGTTTTGTTTGTATTCTCACGTGTTTACGTGATTATGCACCGAATTGTGTGTTGTACAAAAGGCTGATTTCTTCTTCGTTTCTGTTCGTTGCACATAGAATTTATCAAGCGAATAAAAATAATCTATATTCAGAATATAATCAATTCCATTTATAAAATATTTTTGCAGTTTCCTTTGTTACTTTGGTCTCTATCTCTCTATTTTGTTTGTGTCGTAAACGTGAGCTAAGAATTGCACGAGACGAAGGCCGAAAAAGGCAAAAAATGGCAAAATTGATTACATTGTAGGTAAGTGGCCGAAGAACATTCGAGCAGACAATGAAGGGATTCGTTGCAGTCAAAAGAAAAACTAAAAAAACACACACATACACACTGAAATAACGTTTGGATTGCATTGAAAACTATTTATAATGTGCATAGTTAATAAAAAAAAAACGACGACGACGAAGAAATACCGTGCGCATGCATTTGCTTTGAAAAGGATGAAAATGAATGCGCGTATTCACCGCTTGTTGTAATTTCTTACCTCCAGAGGTTTTCTCTACGGTGTGTTTGTTCTATTTATAATTTCGAATCGTTGTCGTTTGGCTCTTTGGCTACTGTCGTTTTTACTCACCACTTGTTGCCACTTGAGAACAAGCGCATCGGCCGCTTTCGTTCCATCTTTTTACAACGACCTAGGCTGTGTTATGCTGTGTGCACCGACACAGCATAGTTTCATGCGACGTCAGGAATGTGTTTTTTTCTCTCTTGTCTCTTTGCACCAAAGTGCACTATTTAGTCGTTGTCGTTGTTTTGCACCGCAGGCCAAATGGATGTCGTCAAACAGTAGTAAATAGTGTAAACAATTGAAAAAAGAATAAAATTAATGTTGATAACAAGCCAAAAGAGATGTGAATAAACAGGTAGTTAATCAAGCGAGAAAGAACAAAACGCACCACAATACACGCGGTGCAACAGATAGAATAATCACACAAACACGGTGAAGGTAGTAAAGAAGCGATCGTCGATAGCTTCGAGACCACGTATATTTGCACAGCAATAGTGTAAATTTATATCGCTCTGGCATCGAGTAGAAAAATAAACATTTTTAATTGCGATGCGCGCAGTGCATTAACTTGTTCTCTGTCGATGGTCTCTTCTCGGTTCATACATAGATGGTGGACACATTTAATGTGCACAATTTTTCCTTATTCTCCTGTACTGCGCACAGCACTTACCCATTTATGTCCAGATGCACGTGAATCGAACATGTATAAATAATGTTTGAATGATTTATGTTATGACGCGATGCGATGTACGTTTACAGAAATAGAAGAGAGAAAATAATGTAGAAAATTATCAGGCTCCTGAATCGCCGCAGTCGTTGTTGTCTTCGTCCACTGGCCACCGTTTCCTCTCTCTCTCTCTCTCTCTCTCTCTCTCTCATTTCATTCCCTTCATTCGTTTATGCATAACAAGCCATGCATTTCGCTATTTTTCATTGCACTGAACTTGAGCTCATTTCAATTTGAAAAAGAAGAAAAAAACCAACAATTTTATACAAATATTCTTTAAATGGCCATTTATTTATAGCTTTTATTAGAAAACAGAATTTAATTGTAATGTTTTTCTACTTGTGCTCGGACTTATCGTCATCATCTTTGTCGCTGGGCATGTCATGCGACATTTGAATCATGCTCGGTTTACGGCTTGACTTCGTTTGTTCCTCATCGTCCATATGCATTGAATCACATGATTGGTAGCGTGCTTCGTCGTCATCAACGTCAATAATCGCGCATCCAACCAACGATTCACGCTTCCTGGTTACATCATTGTACAAATCGCGTTGTGCATCTAAGATGCTTTTGCGTCGTCCAGCTTTGTACGATGCAGATGCAAATTTCAGAACGTTTTTCGTCGATTGTCTTGGCGCAATGCCAACTTTTCCCTTTTGATAAACGGCCTCCTTCAACGGGGTCATCTTGTCGATTACTTCGGTGGATTTTTCTTTGCATGAGATGTCTTCAATCACGCTGACTGTCGTTAGGATTTGCAGCAATTCTTCGAGTAATCGTGCTCGATGCACTTCAAATGGTACGTCATCATCATTTCGAAGCGCTGCACCGAGTTTTTTCTTCAATTGCCCCAAAATCCCTAACAAACGATCAATTTCCTCACGATGTTTCGCATTATTCTCTTCTTGCATTTCACAATCTTTTTGCCGTTCAACCAATTGCGCTTTGATCGCATCCAATTTCGATTTGGATTCATTCAATTCTTTTCGTGAAACTGTTTCTCGTACCTCAGCCATTTTTCGTAACTTGCCTGATTCGTCAATGTTTTTCACTTTATTTTTCAGTTTCTCACATTGATTTGTCAAACGAGCAATGACTTTTAAATATTTCTCACCGGCTGCCACCAAAAATGCATTCTCCTCCAAAATTGATTCACCAATTTGACGCGTTTCCGTGTGTTGCTTTCGCAAGTTCTCATTTTCGCCCGTCACCCGTTCAACCGTATACAAAAGACGCTTGATTTCATTGTTTATTGCAATATTCTCTCGAGTTAGCCGCTGAACATGGGCCGCTGTTCGGATTTGATTGGCTTGCGTAAACTCATTGGAGAGTTCCAATAATCTGCCTTCGAGTTGATTTTTCAATAGCACCTTCTCTCGAATTTGTTTCGTCTCCAATTCGTACAGAGTGTCTTTGTGCCGTTGTTCTTGCTCTTTCAAATTTCGATCCTGTTGATCGAACTTTGCCATTAAATCGTCGTGCTGCAAACGAAACTCCTCTAAATAGTTCAATTTACCGGACAATAATTTGATTTCCGAAGACAATGCTTCGTGCATCGATTTGAATTTTGATTCCCAATCTTTGATGATATTTTGAAATTTTTCCGTTTCTTCTTTCCTCACTTTGGCCAATTCCGATAATTTCTCTTCCAAATCCTTTATTTCACTACTCTGGGTGCGAACAGTACGATTCAAAAATGTAATGATATCCGCTCGGTCTTCGTCAAGTTGAATCATCGCCGTTTCCAATTCCACATTTTTCTCTTCGACTTCGGCATTTCGTTTTCGTAAATTTGCTAGCTTTGTATTGAGATCATTGATGGTGATTTCAAAAAATGTCTTGTCCACCGCACTCAATTGCTCTTTGTTCTCTTTTTGGCCTTTTTTATCGGCCTTTTTGTCTTTTTTCGGCATTTTTGACACTGTTTTCTTTTTGCTGGCTTCACTTAATTTAGCTTCACGTTTCTTTTGGCGTCTATTTCAATCGTTTCGTGGAATTCCTTCATAACAACTGAAATAATGCACAACCGTTTCGATGGAGAGTGTTCGGTGAAAAGCCCAATTGTCATGGTAACTGAAATCGTTGACAAATATCGAACAAATAACCTGTTAAATTCATTGTTAACCTGACACAATTCCAATGCGGTGGAAAATTCCTTAGAATCGTAGCGATTTCATGCAACGGAATTCTCTGTCTGCGTTTTGCATGTGAATACATTGTTGTCACAACAACGGAATGATACAAACCGGAATGAATTCAACTTGAACTTGTTGTCCAGCATAATGATAACAAATCGAAAGAGAAAAAAAAACACACAAAACTAATTAACAAAATGCTGACCACCTTGACTCGATCAGATTTTTTTTAGGACGTTTGTTTACAAGTGAATTTGCGTTTGTATGTTTTTTCCTGTCATAATGCATTATGATTTGATTCAGCCTCCATTATGATGATGCTAATAAAACATTATAAGTGGTACATGTGAATTTAATTGAGATTTTTACAGAAATTCATCAACCGACCGACAGCCGATGTGAATGTGGCGATGGGAATGTAAACGACATTTAGATGTGCACAACATCAGTATTTTATTGCTTTGTCGTGATGACTATTATGGGCTCTGATTTCAATGATTTTCTCTATCTGATTATTCTTGCTTTTCCATTTCCTTTTTTAATGTATGTTTTTAAAATTCCATTTTATCATCGTTTGTTGCTTTTTTTTCTCCGAATAATGCGTTAATTCTTCATTCAAGCCAATCATACACGAAGCAAAGAGAATTGCAGAAAAGAATCCGCACTCCGTAGTGATAGTGTGATTGAAGCGAAGAACAAGAACAGGAAAAATATAAAAATAGCTGCAAAAATCAGATCAACAACCTCATTGGCAATTAAAATTCTCGTTTCGCTTGACTCTTTTTCAATCACATCGTTGTCGACAAGCGATTACATAAAAATAATGATAACAAAGGCAAATCTCTCAACATCTCTTTTATCTGTTCGTTTTGCTATTTTTAACCTGTCTGCTCGTCGAAGTGTATTTTTCTCTCGCTACCTCTCGCCTATTCGGATGCAACGCAAATATTTGCAATTCATTCACGATAACAGCGAATGTTTCATCTTCTCGATATATAGATATATAGATATATAGAAAAATAAATGAGAAAAATGATGACAATATTTAATTTATGACGTTTGTCTGACGCCGAACGAGTTTAACGACTCTCTCATTGCATAATTGGCCACTTCTTATTCTGGCTGCGTCCAAACCATTCGCATATCGTTCATTTATAAATCGGTAGCGATTTGGATTATTCTTATTAACTGTTCTTTCTTATTTATTAATTCGCATATTATTTATTCACCGTTTTCCCATTTGTCTAACAATTTACTCTTTTTACGTGGTTTACATCATTCATGGGTGCGTTACATTTATTTTTCTATCACAAACAAAAGGTGGAAAAACATTTTTGCGTCGTACTCTTTTCGCAATCATTCGTAATTTTATTTTGTTTTTTCGTGCGATTCTCGTTGCTATTGATTCGCAAATTCTGTTTCTTTCATTCTTCTACAAATTTTAGTGAATCTCGTTGTAATTGATGGGTCAAAATGTAAATAAAACACCAAAAAAAAATTACATGAGATTAATAGAAACAGTAATTGGTTGAATGGTTATTATTAGTGTGGCTTATAATCGCAACCAATTTTAATGCTTACATTGTTATTTAATTACATCAGAAAGAACATTTGTTTTGCTTTTGTTTCATTGCATGCATAACCTCCATTTCGGAATACTTGCATGCCAAGATAGATATGTAGCCACAGCCCGTTATATTCAAATCAATTTTTATGCATTTCAAGAGCAACAAAACCTTTGTACATCACTTTAATTAAGTTGATATTAATTGAAATCGTTTTAATGTACAAGCAATTTATCTTTAGCAAATAATTAATATTCCGAATGGAAATGCAAATTTTGTTTACGCTTCGATTCGAATAGTTGGATGTAAAGAAAAATCCTCTTTTCGGGGTCAATTCATTATGAATATGCATCGATTAGTAGAGGAAAAAATGGGGAAGAAACAATCACGAACATATAATACAGTTAGAATTGCATTTATTTATCATTCTTTTCAAGAAATAACACGATTTGTATTTTTGTATTCATATTTTATTGTTCAATTTTCGTTTCGTTTTTAAATTCTTCAAAATTCTAGTTTTTGTGTTTCTTTTTTTTTAAATAAAAAGTATGGAAAATGCCAAACTAAGAACGATTCGGAAATCATATTCAAAGTAAAAAAATGCGCCCTTTATTCCTCAAGAAATAGTTCTTTGCAAACGTCGCCGACATCAAGGTCACACACGTTTGGCACGGTCTCACGTTTTTGCAACACTTTCAAATGGTTGGGCCGTTTGTGTAGCCAGCATTTGGTTTTATCGACACAGTCACAGTTGTCTCCAATGTCGCCGATTTCGCTTTCAGTTGGCTGATTGTCAATCTTATGCTCATTACAATATTTTTCAAAGAGCCAACTGTTGAAATTGTTCGATGCGTCGGCTGGTATTGCATCGACTTTATGCTCACATCGGCGACTAGACGATGGATCGATGTATTGGCAACGAACGATTGCATGTTTGTCGCGTAATGTGTGCACATCATTTAAATCATCTTGCATCGACAAATTCCACGGCGGATAAATGAGAAAGGCAAATACGGTCAGTGCACACAAAACCAAAATCGGTAGAAATAATGCGAAATATTTGTCTGGTAAATAGGTTAAACCGAGCACATCTTGAAGAAAATACTCGGGCAAAAGTGCCCAAGCAACGTATAAAACGAACAGTGTCTTGAAGGCTGAAAACCATGCAAATCCGTAAACTGCACGGTTTGGAGTGGGCGATGGCGTTGGTTCAGCCATTATTTTGGTACTTCTTTCTAAATTCTAATTCTAAATTCAAATGAGGTTGCTTATTGGGTCAATTCGATTGCTTCCGCTTATTCTATTCGTAGTCGTAAGTGGCGGCTGGAGGACCAAATTGTTGCATCGTTTCGGTACACAAAATAATCGCTTCGAGGAACGCATTCACACTAACGCGAACCTGTTTGGCTTGTACGGCTGAAAATGACCTAGAATATAGAGAAATTGAGAAAGATTTTTTAAAAGATTTAAAAAAAAAACAAGGATGAATCACATTAATGGCACTTACACTATGATATCATTCGACTCCAATTGAAGTTGCTTAGTTACGGCACTTCGTTTTGGCTCGGCATCAATTCTCAACACGTCGTAAGCAATTTCGGCTTGTCTTCTCGACGGGAATGGAATTCTTAAATCACTAAAATGAACGAAGATTTTTTAGTTGTTGTTTTTGTTTATTATTTTCTTCGACTAGTTCAAACTATCAAAGAGTTCATTGGTGTTTGAAAAAAGTTGTTGATAAAACGAGGTGTGACGCAATGCAAAAAAATGTGTACTTTATCTACTTACACGTTGTATCCGGTTGGTTTACCATTCGATTCCATAGCTAAGCCAGAAAAAACTGTTTCAATTTTAATGTGTTGAAGAATGATATTCCCTGGTTCTATCGCCAAATTCAAAATGTTTGTGTTAGAATTTATTCGGCACGATGAAATCAAGACATTGTTTTGCTTTTGAATCACTCTTGACAATGACAGCAAATTGTCAAATGAATGGAACATGTGGTGGAATGCTTCAATGGACCGAACAAAAGATGGCGCTTCGACCAATTACATTCGATTGTGGTTATGAATGAGATGTAGCGGTGTTATTACACAATTGTTTATTCCAATTGAATCATTCACTTGAATTGAACCTAAAATGAAATTTTATTTATTTTCAACGAATGTTCTGAATTGATTTAACTTTATATTCATGATGTTCATCATCTCAACGAATAAAAAAAAACCATGCTTCAATTGATATTGTTTGTCAATTTTTCCCGTTTATTCGAAGTACTTTACATTTTGTTAACATAAATTCTAAGTTTCGGTGTATTAATGCACGTCGATTTGCAAATGAACACACTAATTTGTAAATGCCTGCTCATCAGAAAAAGTCCAGAGCGTTTAGTCTTGATGTTTTTGCAAAAGTTGGGCAAAACGATTGGTGACCAGCAGCGATGTATCAATAAATCGGTCAACGCAATTTGATAAACATGTTTCGGCTTTGCTACTGAGTTTGCTTTCCGGTGTGTCAACGCATCGCTCCCAGCAAATTTCGGTGAATTCATGAATCTGTACAAACAATACGATCGGTGAAAATCAATTCAATTTTCATGTTCACAAAGTCGACATTGAATCAACCGATTCGATATACTCACTTGTGCATTAACTTGTGCCTTTTGTTTTTCGGCCATCAAAAAGTCTTGCAACTCTGAGTCACCGCCACTTGTTGGAGTTGAACTGTAATCGGACATTTTTGTGTGAATTTATTCGATTTTTCAATCAAAAATTTAGAAACACGGAAAATTGTGCTGGCCGGAACGGTGCGTGTGTGATTTTACACTGACTTCTGTCAAGTGATAAAATAAACATGCCTGTCAAAGATATGTCTTGTGTGTCAGTCATTTAAAACTCATCCCTATTGACAAAATCCATTGAAACCGAAAAAGTGTAATCATTTGAAATTTTCGTTATTTTTTCAGTTGCCCGAAGTCGTTGAAGCAGAAATGAAGACAAGTACCTCCAATCCCACATCCATTTCGGATTTTACGGATAATAGCCGTGCAAATAATAAGCTTCGAGATGAACTCAATCGACTTCCATTATCACCTACGTTACCAGCTTTAAAATCCAAATGCAATGACCGTCAATCCACGCAAGGAACGGTTCGTTTGCCCGTGGAATATTCAACACTTCCATCGGACGGACAGGATTTGTTGGAGCGATTATTGGAATTCCGTCCAGAGCGTCGTATTCGTTCAATATTTTCATTACAACGTATTGCATTTTTCATGGGATTCAACTTCGATGATGCCAAGAAGAAAAAAGTATAACACATTTTTGCATCAATCTTTAATAAAATCCATAAATTTAAATCGATATGCATTCTATTTTTTTCATTGTTCATTAGATAAACCCACTTGATCTGATGGATTCTACGGAAATTTACTGATTATACAAGTAGTGCCTTACTATTCACATAAGAAATGTTAGAATTCCGTCCGCTTTCTATTTTTCTAGCACATAAATAATAAAAAAACAATTATTGAAAACTACACGGTGCTTGTGTTTGGTTTATATTTCGTTTAATGTGACCGAAGGGTGTAGTAAAAGATGGGTCACCGAACAGTACACACACACACACATACACACACACACAATGCGCTCTCGACATTCCATTCAAATATCCGTTTGAATTTTTAATGGGTGCACAAGCGAACGTTCTAATTGTTTTGAACGTTATAATTGTTGTTCCGTTTTATGAACTCAATTTTCCCGCATTTATTATATGTATTCAATTCCGATGGAAAAGAGGTAAGCAACTTCTCAAACAAAAACAATCAACAACGACGACAACAACAACGACGACGATGACGACGTCGAAAATTCCCGTAGGTTTGTGGAGGAGAGAAATCGATTTGGGCAAATAAACAAAGTGAACCGTAATTAGAGTACCATATTCTAGTTGAAAACTAAACGAAAATATACGGAAATGAAAACATAAGATGATTCGATTCATTTACACATATGTGCGCTCGTAATTGATTCGAACAGATGCGCGCACGCTCTCTCTCTCATTCTCTCTCTCTTTCTCTCTCTCTCTCTCGGCTTCCGTTTATAATTCATCCTCGATTTCGAACCGTATGCGCTTAAAATATGCACAAGTTGTAGAATGCTTCTAAAATTATCGAATAGTAATGAAATACTCCGATGGAAGTGTGTACGCTAAATAATGCTGAGCAAAGTGAATGTGAACGTACGCAGAGTGGGAAAGTGCAGAGCGGATTAAATACGAGCAGCCAGCACTTTTCATCGCAAACAATTAAGCATATTAAGTCAACCGAGTATACAGCAAACGAACACTCTTGAAAATCGCATTCGGATGAAAGTATGTAGCCTACTACTGCTGCTGCTGCTCAATTTACTATCTTTTATCCATTGAAGCGTGTTGTGTATGAGAAGGTGGGTCTCATTACTGCCTTCCTCTCACTCACTCACTCGTAACACTCTATCGCCTCGCACCGAGTAAATGCACGGCACATAACACCGTTTATCGGTCATAGGCTGTTTAAATATTTACAATTGGATCCCTCCGTTCAATGGAATAAGCCGTATAGGAAATAGTGGGAAGCCGAAAATTTCTCGGCAATGTGCAAAATCCACCGAAATATGTGTACATCTCTTTTTCACTTACATTTCGGATTTTATAGTGCGTAACATCGGTCGTTGGATTTTTTTCTCACGTCTGTGTATTGTTGTTGTTTCAACAATGTTGTATATTTGATAAACTGCTTTGTTGATTGCCGTAAGTATCATTTTACTTTTTACTAGAATTATTTCGCTTAAATTACATGCACTGAATCTAAATAAATGTGCCGTCACCGTCATCAGCACATCACACTCATATGTGTGCTTGCGTGTTTGTATGTGACGATATACAAGGAGTATGTGCGCTCAAAAAAGGCTGATGGAATGTGTGTGGGCTAAATGAATACGTATGTACACCTTTTTTTCCACTCGCTATCTATCTAACGATGAATCACAGTGCATAGACGTCATTGACTTATTGCAATCCATCGCAAGGCATATCGCACCGAATGATAGACAGAGCTCAATTTGGTACAATGGAATAGCGTCAGCCGTGGCTCGTATATGAGGTAAACTCAACTGAAAATAGATTTATGAATATGTAAACAAACGGCGGAGGAAAAAAAATCGCATAATATTGGATATGAATGGTGGGAATGGATAAAGCCATTGGATTTTGTTGTTGAAACGTAGAGGTAGAAGAAATAGAAAGAGAGAGTGAGAGAGCAAAAAAATACTACAGTGAATGTTTTCCGCTGCTGCCGTTGTTTTAATGTCCTATTTTTCATGGATATGGAATGAACAGTAAGTGCAGCAACAATTGAGTCTCGAAGAGCCAGGATTCAGGTAAACCACTCACCTATGTCAACATCATTAGGCGAGGTGTTTTTCATCACGTCCTGGTAAAATTCACTGTATACTGCACACAAGATGTAGTCTTCGCATGATTTCTGGTACATTGATAAAATTGAAAAAACAAACAAAATGATCAAAATCGATTCGTGTATGGCATATGCCAATTTTGATTAAATGGATAAGTTCGCGACGCTATTTTTACAGGTGTTTTTGTGCTGTGCTGTGCTATGCTCTTCATTTTGTTTGATAGATTTGGGCCATTTCGGCTTATCGATATGTGAACACCATTTGGAAAATGTGAAAATAATCCGTGTAAGCAAATATAACAAAGCCCCGTAATTGAATGGCTTACGGTAAAACGAATTCACGTCATGTGCGTTTTATTATCGCTCATTCGCATTGAGGTGTGCCAAATATCAATCGATTTGCGTGTCTCTCTGGTAAGACAACGAACCGAATGAAAGCAACAGCAGCAGCAGCAGTATCAATGCTGGCATTTGATGTGCGTCCTATTGTTTTGCAGCTGATATGCTTGCATACGACGACCACCGCGCTCCAGATATAATTCTTTTTCATTCCAAGCCATTTCTCTTTCTCTCGGTGAATGTGTTGGTGTATCAAAGTGCGCGCGATATACATATGGTACAGCGACGGAATCCATAAACACACATCATGCTTTCGACAGATTCCCACCATCCTATTTAAAACCGCTCCGAAGAATCGACTGATTCATATGTATACCGTTTGATAGGATCTTTGTTGTGTTCATAGTCGCACACTGTGCGTCGTTGTTGTTGTTCTGCCTCTATCAATGTGTAAAGCTTCTGTTCTCTGCTGCACAAATACTGGCAAAAGAGAATAGCATCCAATTCCATTCGTGCTATACAAACAAATACACGTATCCAAATATCGCATCGCATGCGCAATCATTTGTTTGACGATAAATGTGTGCTTGGGATGCTATCGAAGAAAATCCATGAAATATGAGACAATGACATGAACATTCTTCTTGAATATAGTTTTCATTCAGTAAATAATTTTGGGATTGGGCTGACTCGCACTACCACACACAGACGCGCATCATTGCACATACGCCAACAAGTCAAATACCAAAATTGGAAAACATTTTTCTCGCCCCGAATGTCAAATAAGTGATGGTCACGAGAGAGAGAAAATGCCATTCGAGTGCAACCGGTTTCATTTAGGTGGGCAAATCAATTCAGACTTAATGATGTCAAGAGAGAGGTAGAAAAATGAAACCAAGAAAAATTGCCATAGCAAAAGGTCAGAGCCATTGCCTGAAAGCCTCAAGCCTACGCTTATAAATATGAAATGCGAACTTTCTTTTATTGTGTTGTCGAGTTTGCCTAGTAAAATGACCGAAATAAAACGGATTTCGCCTCACTCTGAAATCACAATGTGATTAAATAATTGATGATCTATTGTCGCCATATCATCATCACTGTCGTATAAACAGAGGAGAAGAAGAAAAGAACGTCGCATTGGAATTATACGAGCCGATTGTGAGATTGGGAAATGGGAATACACACAGACACATTCACATGGAATATCAGCCAGCAATCACGTACATGTTAATCACAAATATTCGCGCGCGTTATGAATTATACGCGAATACACAAATCCCATCAAATATACATAGCAGCACCATAGAAGCGTTCGCATAAGCACACACACACACACACCAACGAACGCATCGATAGGAATATCGCACATACACAATGGCATAGTTTTATGGAAAGTTCGTTTCGATGTGATGCAAAGATAGTGGTTGAATGGATGGGAGCGAGAGTAAGATCGCGCGATGCGAGAGAAGAACGAACGAAAAAACCAAACAATCATGACTTTCACCAGGCCTAGTGTGGCACGATTTCGAACGCACACAAACGACCGATTTCATGTGTAGGAGTTGGAAAACACACACAAACACAGCGCGTATATGAAGGAGGCACACTGTGATTGTAACCCGGATGGCCGTCATCCACCAGACTAATACACACGCAAATTGCGCTTCGCAACGCACATACACACACACGCGCGCGCGTTTGGCCCCAATCTATCGCATACGTGTACGCATACGAACGAATTTCCATCTGGAAAAGAAAATACGGAAAACACACGTATAAATCCCACTGTGTGCACTAACACACTGACGGTGTCTTTGCACAGCCATACAACCAGAGAGAGAGAGAGAGAGAGAGAGAGAGAGAGAGAGAAAACGAAAAAGAAGAAGAAGAAGTAGCGAAACGAAAAGGATGAAAATGGAAAAACTAACCAGAAGCAAATTTTTGGTGGTGCTGAGCAGAAATTCGAAGTGTGCGTGTGAGAAAAAAAAATCGTAAAAAAAATATTCATTTTTATCAGTGATAATTTCGAAAATATACTTTTTTCATTGTTATCTGGAATATTTATTAATTTTAATTCGTAATTTTGTTGTACAGTGTGTGAAATGTGGTTCAGTGTATCGAGATTTTCTTGCAATTTTTTTTCCTTCGTAAAAAGTGAATGCAATGAAGAAAATGAAACAACATTGCGCGAAGAGAGTGAAAAAGGGAAAGAAAAACAATCGGTTGATTGTAATGTGTGTATATTTATGAAAGAGAAAGAAAACGCAATACTCCGACTAGACTTCGAAAGCTAAGTCGGCAAAGCCATTATTATGAAACGCTAACGATTCGTCATGCACAATCGATAGAATGAAATCTCATTTAATATCGCAACGAAATGATTTTAGCAGTGAAAATGAAATAAAAACGCAAACATAAACATTACCGTTGAAGCGAAGGCAAAGGGAGAACAAAATATCTAATAATATCGTTGTTCAAGTGGTTCTAATATTTCTCATATTCTTTTTACAAGCAGAAAATGTTCGTTGTTCTTTTCATTTTCCCCCGGAATGGACGACGTTCGTTGAAACGCAAAGTGCCTATTTCGCGTTTGTGCGTTTCAATTTACATTTCGAGAGTGTGATATGGCACACTGGCTATGAGAAGAAGAGCAGCACCACCAAGTTCGTGAATGTCATTCGAGGATTTCGGAGCAAGTCACAATATGAGCTTTGCTCGGTGTCTCTGCCCCATACTTTGCCTCAGCGTGTCAGTGTGCATGCGTTTGTATGCGTTTGTATGTGTGAGAGAACACTGAATATAAATCGATTACAAATCGCTATTCATATGATGTTATCTATTTAGTAATTCTCTTTGTATCCACTGGTTTGTTCTAAATCGAGTTTTACCAAAAACTCAAAGTTCAACATGAACACCACGAATGAAAAGGATGAAATTAAAGTTCAAACAACATCAATCGCATTTAATTACAACTCCGAATTTGTTTGACGTAAAAACTGGTCAGACAATTAGACGTGAAGCCTTTGTTTTCGTTGTGTCTGTACATTACACGCCTTAACTTATGTCAAAAGTTCGAAAAGAACAACGAAAGAACATCTAATAGAATGGATAAAAATAGACAAGAATTACGTAGAATCTACGATAATAAACAATTTGATTGAACGAGAGCTTTCGATAATTGCGAGAAACGTCGTTGTTTTCGATGGTATTTTTACCATTCAACTCATCCCTCTCCTTCCACACATATAAGATTTGTGCTACTTCACTTCGATATGACAAGTTTTCCGTTTTCATTATTGCGGGTGATTTCGTCGAGTGTGAATAGTGTATGTATAACACGCACGCAGACACATACAGACAGTGAAAGTTTAAGTAAGGCGAATAGCACACTTATCCAGGGTCATCAGAATAATCATCAAGTCAAAAACAGTGCGCAAAAATATCTACCAAAAATCAGAACGTCAAATAAAAAAAAATCGAAGAAGTGCCACCGAAAAAGAGTGAGGGAGAACAGTTAGAGCGATAAATTGAGTGACAGCCACAGCCCTAAAATCGACGACCGACAAAAAAATAGAAGAAGTAGTGGATTTTCGTAAGATGAAACAAAAACATAAAAATAACAAAAATATTTGCCAAAAGCATAATTCATCCATAAAGTGCTTACGCCACAATTCTCTCTGTCTCTATGTGTAAGCATGTATCTCTATCTCCCCCTCATTCTCGTTGTGTTCTATTCATTTTACGGTGTTAGAGGATTTCCGAAATATACTATGCACCACACTAATCGAACCGTGGATAGGATGAAAAATTAAAAGGCTCAACTGATAAACCGTAAAAATGTATCTGTACGTAATGTTCGATGCGAAGCAAATAAAGTGGATAATCCAAAACAAAACCAAGTTTCGTCTGAATACTAGCGGAGACGAAAAAGCGAAAAGCATTTGGCGGACAACATATCGTTACATCTCGCGCGCACATGCCAAACTATTTGCTGATTGCTTTCGATATATATATATATATATATATTGTAAACGCTTCAAATTTATGCTTGTCGAGACGCGCATAGTAAAACTCCGTTGCCACTCGCGCTGTGGAACGAAACGATTTCACCCAGCCAGTTGAATCTTTCAACAAACTACGATTTCTAATGTTTGTTGCTCCAGTCGTTGTTTTTTATTATTTCTCTTTGCTCTCGATTCCCATTACGAATATTTGTTTATGGACACTACGAATCGACGTAATTTTACGCTGGATTTTTTCTATAGCAAAAAATTAGAACTGAACGCGCTGCCGATGTATTGATTATTTGTCTGCCAGTTGATTCAAAGAGACGCACCATTTTTGATATTTTCTTTGAAGAGCCTTGTTTTTTCTCGGTTTTCTTGCTGGAAGATATCATTTATTTCATAAAATTTTGTTCGAAATAATAATCTTTGAATTGATTGATTTCGACAAACACCTCTCTCACATATTCATTTCGCACCCAAGAGTTTAAATTATTGACGTGTTGAAACGTTGCATTCGAAGGGGAGAGGGGGAGTGATAGAAAAAAAACAAATCATAAAGTCGTTTGTCATAATAAGGTCAGACAAATGGATAGCAGATGACTCAAAATCCTGACTAAAAAAAATTACGAAAATAGCGTGTTTTGGGTAATGGTTACCCAAGTGAAACCAATCAATTTACTCTACGCTAATAGAATGCCAAGTTTAAGTAGTTCAATTTATTTTACACTGTTTGGACGCCCCCCAAGTTAAAAATGCACTGAAGATTCGGCGTAGCTTTGGTGTAAAATAACTTAAGTTCAATACTATTTGTAATACAAATATATATATTTAACTCAAGTTGAATTACTCCGAAGCTACACTCTTTGTCCGGTATATTTTTAATTTAGCATATAGATGGCGTTGCATAATGATAATTCAAATTCAAGTTAAAAATATACTGGACAAAAGGTGTTACGTTGGAGTCATTTAACTTGAGTTGAATGCATATATTTGTATTACACATAGTATTGAACTTAAGTTATTTCACACCGAAATTACGCCGAATCTTCAGTGCATTTTTAACTTGGCGGGCGTCTAAACAGTGTAAAATAAATTGAACTACTTAAACTTGGCATTCTTTTAGCGTAGAGTAAATTGATTGGTTTCTCTTGGGTACAGACTAGTAAAAATCTCATAAAAAGTGGGCGCACTCTCTCTCTCTCCAACGCCCGTTCCGACAGCGAATATAAAAATGCGCGCCAAACGCGAATATTTTCTTTTTCGGCAAATCTAATTAAAGCACAACAGCTTGACTCCCATTTCATGTACGGCACATTAAATGCCATTGCAGTGTAATTAATGTGGCAAACATATATCGCATGGATTGCATGTATTTCGATTGAGTGAAGGCTTAACGACCAAATAGAGAAAAAATATTGCATGAGCTGGGGCACTCGAATTACGAACGAGAGCACACCACAACATGCAAGGCGTAAACGGAAGAGTGGGAAAATTGAGCAAGAGAAAGAGTGGGTAAAAATCAGCTGGAACAATTCACAAAGTTACCAAAATTTCTTTTCTTTGCTATTAAGCCACTGGATCCATTGCATGTTTGTCGAAAGTTATAATCAATTTTTTTTTGTTTTGTTTTACGTCCCGAAGCAAAACTAGAGAAATCAAAATGGAAGAGAAAGAGAGAGAGCAAAAAAATAATATGGGCACTAGGGTGGTCCAAACTGATTTATCATGGCAAGGTATATGTTCCCAATAGCTTAAAATTGAATTGGGCTCAAAACTAGCTGATTCCCTTTTTAAGATAAAAATATATTCAAATCTAGTGGACTAGCCGTACTTAAAATGGCTGTTTTTGACCTATTTTTCAACATATATATTGATAGAAAACCCATAGGTTATTCAAATCGAATCTGGGACGCTGAACACGAATCCGTTGTCAAAAATTAGCTAATGTTTCTTCCCAAAAAAGTTTAAGAACAAAAACATGGTTTTTTTTTTAAATTCAGCCATATTGTAAAAATGCATGGTTCCAAGTGTATTTTTAACACCAAATTCGAACTCAGCGCCTCAAATTACCTTAAGATTGACTATGCTGATGACAAAAATCGAATAATCTCAGAACTAAAATTTTCTAGTAGTGTTCACGTATCGAAAAAATCACATTTTTCCACCAAAAGTAAATTTTTGTTCAAAGCAGCCATTTTTATGGGTTTCTAGGCCGCAGAATTTGAATCCACCCAAAGAGAAATAACAAAATTTTCAGTGGGAAAAATTGATATTTTTCTATACAGTTACACGGATTTCTTTGCGTTCTTTCGGTTTTTCTCCAAAAACTCGTACCCCATATGCCATGGAGCAGAACTTTGTTGAGCAAAGTTTTAGATCTCACCGAAACCTACGATTTCGCCGCAGACAGTCATCACTTATTACTTATCAGTAAGGAGATAATGGCCTTGATAGCTTTTATCAATTATCACTTAGACGACATATATGTTGAAAAATAGGTCAAAAAAGCCAATTTAAGTACGGCTATATCGACCACTAGATTTTAACATTTTTTTTATCTTAAAAAGGGAATCAGCTAGTTTCGAGCCCAATTCAATTTTAGGCTATTGGGAGCGTATACCTCACCATGATAAATCAGTTTGGACCACCCTAATGGGCACACAAAAGGCGAGCAACATTCACAAAACAACAATTACAACGACGACGATGACGACGACAAAAACATATGAAACAATCAATTTAATCACCTTTTAACCCAAACGATATATAACGATTTCCCGAAAGCGACGACAGTACCATCACGACCATACCAAAAGAAAAAAAACAGAAGAAAATCTATAACCATTGCACGAAGACTAACGTACGTGCGCGAATTTATTTTCTCGTATAGATTTGAAAAAGTTTTCTGTCAATATCGATCTTCTTGTGAAACTGCTTAGGCTTTGAGCCCGTTCAAAACCGATACAAATACGATTGACGCTGCGAAAATGAGATAGTACCAAGAAAACCAATAAAAAAAATGAGCCTCATAATACATTTGCAACCGAAAACATTTCAAACAAACCAAAACGACGATGGAGAGAAAAATTCTCACAAAAAGAACAAAAACGAAAAAAATGTTGATGAGCCCCGACATAATGTTATTTCGAAATTCATTCTTTTTGAGTTATGCGTGACGTACTATGGAAGGGGAATTGCAAAACAAATGAGAGAAAGAGTGGGGTCGGGTACAAACACATTACCGTTGATATTGATAGGTTGTTTATGGTTTATGGTGGACACAGAAAGAGAGAGAGGGAAAAAAGGCCATACAGCGGCAATTCGCAATGTGAATCTTTATGTAAAAGAGATTTACGCACCCTTGGAACAAATTAGGAATCAATTTATTGGACAATTTTCCGATTACTCGATGGTTGCACCGAAAATCTAATCGAAACCGGTCCATAATACTCGGGCTAAGAAAAAACCTAACCACCCCGTTCTTACACATAAAACCTACCAGTCACCTTTGACTTTATGTACATTCGTTTTTCGATAAAATGCCATATGCCCAAAATCAAACGCAATGCGATTACTTTCCGTTTTCATTGCCATGGCATGCCGTTGCAAAATGTGTACAATCTTTTCGATAGCGCAGCTAAACCACAGCTTCGTCGTTCATTCGCTTCGATGGCCTCCATTCACGTCGTTCATTTTCCGCCTATACAAGCCCATACTTATGATCTATTGTTAAAAAAATTGCCGCTGTTGTTATTGTTGTTGTCGTTGCTCGACTTGGCTGCTGGTATTTTTACTGTTGTTGCTGCTGCCGTTGATGATGGTTTGCACTCAATTTTCCACTTTCTATTCGAATACGCATTCGTATATGGCATCTAACATTTGGCATTTATATGCTCTGTGTCCCCAGTAAAATGAATCTCCGTTAGTCGTTGCCTCGATTTTCTCTTTCTCTCTCTATCTCACTTTCGTTCTCTCTTTCTCTCCATTTTGTTCTTTTGTTTGTCAAAAATTGCGATTTTTTCCCTACCCATAGCAATATATGCCCTTTTTATACATAATTCTATATATTGTATCTAATGCTAAGCTGATGCTTGATGACTGGAAATATTTAATAGGGCAAAAGCGTTTTTTTTTCGCTCTCTTTCACAATGAAAACATTTCACAAAAATAATATACAGTAACATGCAACATATTTTCCCGTTGATTAGGAAAAGTTTTTTTGTTAAACGCCGTTTCTTCCTGTTTTCTTTTTGGCCTGTGCAGTTTTTTATACATGCAATCATATTTCTCGTTGCATACATACGCAAATTCCCCATTTCCCATGATTTTTATGATAGACATTTTATTTATATTTCAACGTGTTGCCACTACTGCTGTTGCTGCTTCTTTTTTCAACATGTAAATCAAATGGTTTGAAATTTTTGTTGTTGTGATGAACAATATTTGTTTAGCATCGTTTTTGAAGGATTTTTTTCTGCACACACATACAGAGACACATACATATACATCATCAAGATGTTCCTTTGTACTAAGTTTAGATTTCGAATTTTTTTTTTAACACATTTTCTTTGCCATGTCATCTTCCTGTTAAACGATTGATGCAGTGGAGCGAGGACAGACACACATTGCAACAACACACAAAGAGAACATTCCCTTACAAAACTAATCATTGTAAAACTATCGCTCGATGATTTGATTCCGTGCCTCTTTCTCATTCTCTTTATGTCGAAGGATCTTGAAACTTCTTCCATGCATTCACTCTTATCTTTGCCTTCGAAAATCGAAATATGAAACTTGGTCGTATATGCATGATAGCCAAAGACTGTCGACATATGAGAAAAATAAGATGAAGTTGAAGTTGAAGAAAAAAGAAACGAGCCAACCAACGAAATTGCAGTAGTAGAATGAAATGGAATGAAAGTTATTGGGACGAAATAATTTACTGTGGCAAAGAGAGAGAGAGAGAGAGAGAGAGAGAGAGAGAGAGAGAAAGAGAGCCAATAAGAGCGTACATAATGTGCAAAATGGGAAGAAAACTTTTATTCTCCGTTGATGATGATTCAGACTACGGAATCGTTGCTTGGTGCTATCTTGTTCCGCGCGCATTGTATCTGACATACGCATATATATCGATACATGTGTCATTTAACGTGCGCGCCAAGCGAAAGAATAACAACTTTCGAAAAGTACGGAGTAATGATTCGGAAGAATAAAAAAAAAAGTTTTCGTATTCTTTGTTTCATATGCAGTAGCAGTATGGTAACGACAACAGCCAACACAATCATATCAAACGCGTTTTACTATCGTCAAGCATGTCTTGTTCCTCCATCACTTTAATCGCGAACGGAGACAAGAATATGGTACTTTCCATGTAAAGTTATTACGCTATAAATGAGCAGACCCCCCTTCACATATTATACGAAAATCAAAACTGTCGTTCGATTTTCGTTCCACTCACATCAAGCAGCCAAGGAAAGCCAGTCAAACGAAGACTTGCTGCCGAAAACAAACAGAAGAATAAAATAAAATTAAATGAATGTTGGCCGTAAAATGGCATTACACTTCGTGAATCACATGTTTCCGAGAAGTTAGTCATTAGGATAAGAATTGTAGCAAGCAAAAACATTGTACGATATTAAAATTCGATGGGTTGATTTGTTTGCGGCAGTGAAAGGTACACCAAACCAAAATCTACCATGTATCCCGAGCTGCGGGTAGTGTAAATGTCGACGAGCATATAGTGGAATGGAAAAAAGCACGGGCTAATTTTTGAAATTACACTCTTTCGCAAAAGCCACACAATGAGAACACACTTGGGCATGCATATTTCAATGTAATAAAATATTTATATTGCGTTTTGCTTGCTGCTGCTGCTTTGCTCTCGTTTTTTCGGTGTTGTGAGCGCACCGGTTCATCGCTCGTCGTTGAGCGCTGGTAAAATGTTCAAGTAGCTCATTCGCTCAAGTACCATGTAAAATTTATATCTGCATTTGCTATTACGACAAATGAAAACAGTGGCAGCGACAAAAAGCTCGCAGATAGACAATACGGCCAAATAGTTATAGAATATGTTGACATATTTTCCATAAAATATTCTCTCTCACACACACACACACACTCTTTTGGCAAATTAAAGGCAGGCCAACGAGTCGAAGACGGAGACAGAGATAAAGTGAAGGATAGAAAATGAAAGAGTAAAGGAGAGGAAGTGTGAAAGAGAAAGTGAGATCGAAGAAGTTGAGATGTGTGAGTGAAGTAGTTGACGGTGGGTTCGTTTTAAACTCGACAATGTTGCACATTCGCTGGGTTATAATTAAATTATTCATTGTCATCATTTTTGTTGAACGACTAACGACACTACAGTTGAGAGAGTTGAACGAATAAAAGCAACACTCACAAAGATCATCACAGAATCCATATAATATGGGCTTGAGAGCAGAATCCATGCATCTCGAAAAATTGAAAACGACAAGTGACACACGAACGGATGAGAAAATGATGCAGATACACAGCGAGAGAAATGAGGCGATGGAGAGACGGGGAAAGAGACAGATAGCGAGAGAGCAAGCGCACAAGATTCATTTTAAAAATATCATATTATAGAGAATTACCTATTCGGCGTGCTTTCAATTTCTTCCATCCATTTCGCTTTTTTCGTTCACACTCAAACTCACTTTGTCCAGATGCACACTCGAATCTCTCTCTCTCGCTGCCTCCCTCCCTGTATTATATTATATTTTGTATGTTAACGGACTTAAGCGGCTAAAGTGCTTTATATTTTCTTGAATGCTTAAGTGCCACTAATTATGTTGAAAAGAAAGCCTCTCTCTCCAAGCCATGTGCCTTGTGCGCGCACATCCCTTACAATGCATCCGTTTTTTATTTTCTTTTCACATTAAATTCCATTTTCACCATGCTTCCTTTGCTCTATGGCTTATCTGCTGCAAAGACTCACTCGTGATAGTTTCTTCTTTTCATTCCGTTCTCTCGCTCTGTCTCATCATCCCTTCGTTGTTGGCTGCCATTGCCGCTGTAGCTTTGTGTTTGTCACGATGCTGAAAGCAGTGCCATTCATTCTTTTAATTTCATCACTTCGTCAAAAACCACCCAACAAATAGATTATGCACGAATGATGACTTTTTAACCTTATTTCGTCTCATGTGGTGTTAAGCTGCAGCGATTTTTTCCCTCTTTTTTGCTTCTGCTCAGCGCTTTCTCTCTCTCTCTCTCTCTCTCTCTTTGTGGCTCGGCAAAATTTCCTTTGTTGCTGTGATATTTGATACAAGACAAGCAAAAATGCATTTTGCCACAAAGATGAAAGGATGAAAAGTATTGAGATCATTGTTTAAAAATAGATGCCTTTGCCTAGGTTCACTTGTGCACACAGCGCACTTTTCTCTCTCAACGCCAACAATGTTATCATCATCAGCAGCAGTCGCAGAAACAGCAGCAGGTTCCACTCTCGGCATATGGCTTGCACCATTTCATTAATGGTTATGCATTAGCGCGCGCGACGCAGAGATAATAAAGAAATTGTGATGTTACACTGCTTATACGCCACTGTCATAAGAGAGATACAGAGAGACTGTGTATCGCTTACATAATCTCAATCATATCCATAAGTATCGGTTATCTTCTTCCATTAATATGCAACCACTTACACTCTATCTGGCTTCGCTCGCTCGCTTGCTCTCGGAGTCTATTTCGCCCTTTGTACTTTGGTCTTTTGATTCCATTAGAGAGGGAGAGAAATGGGGGGGGAGAGAGGTTCTATCGACCGGAAAGATCGTCATTCCCAGATCATTTGCAAATTAGATTACTCAAGGATAAATATAACTTCAAACGAAGCATTAAATAAATAACATGAAAAAAATAAATAAATATATGTACATACACGGCACATGTAAGAAAAATATCTGTGCATGAGCTACCGAAGATTTTGACAAATTGAGTTTCTGACATTTGCTTCTTGTGGCAGGGTGCGCCCAACACATCACATCGAATTACATTCCAATTGGGCATTAAAAATTAACACAAATTGACTTGTGGCATTCTAACTACCGACTCGTTTAATGTGACCATATTACCGAATGTGACCACTTTCCACAATATAATGACCTTTTTGGTTGCTCCATTGTTGTATCGAACCAACCATATTATGGTCGATTATTACTCAACGTTGCCATAGTCTCATTGCAGTCGGCGCAACGGTTTATTTATACACTAAAATGCATTTGCAGCCAGTTTATAACTTTTACTAATTGCATGTCGCTGCAATTACGTCAAATAAATCATGAAAACTCATCACTCTGCATTTTATTCGATGAAGGTGTCAACATTTCAAGAAAGAAAAAACGAACGAACGAACGAAAAAAGCGACACACACACACACACACACGACTGAATATGATTGAGCGTTGAGCCTCGTGAGACTTTTGACATGAATAACGTGTCATTCCGTTGACAGCTATAATATATGTACGAAATAAATTGAGGTTGTGTGTGTATTTCGTGGCAAACGTGATAGTGCAATGTTGATAGCGTCGCGTAGGTAGCAATGCATTTTATTATGACGATATTATAGCCAACATGCGAATCCATAAAAAGCTTTCGCTTACGTCGTTCGGTTTGTTTTTTTGCTCTCTCTCTCTCTCTCTCTCTCTCTCTCCACTTTTGCGTTTCAGCTCCATTCACTTCGAATAATACTGGATGGCTGCTATCGCAGCGAATTGGAACATTTTTCTCAATGAGATTAAAAGACACATGGATTTATATTGAATTTGTGTTTTTTTTGTTCGTTGAAAAACCTTTTAACGACATCGAAAATCCGATCAAAATTACTTCCGTCTTGAACCACATACACGCCGACACACATCAACAACATTGCGAAAAAGGATTTATGTCGATTTATTTTTGTCGTTATCTCGTCGCAAATATTTGATATATTTCATATTTTTCTGCTCATCTTTTCGATACAGATTGAAGACGGTGGTGAAATCGAAATGGGACATGATTTAAAGTCGCTAAAAGGATTTCACCAGAATTGGTCAGAATTCACCGTTTTCTGGCCGCCATTTTAATTAGGATTTAACACAAAAAAATAATAATATTAATAACGAAGCTTTATGCCAATAATAAATCAAAATTCGATCAAATACTTTGAAGTGAATACAAAACAATACACGAGACACACACACAAGACGAAGAGAGAAGCGAATGCCCGTCATTTAGCCAATATTAATTTAGCAAATTTTTGAGTAAGTTTTTAATTCAACACTTAAATTGTCCCACATAAATCATAAATGATAAATTTCAATTGCTTTTAAACTGATTATCAATTCAAATAATTTTATGTAATTTCTTTGTTGATTTCTCTCTTTGGGAATTTGTTTGCAGCCGAAAATGTTCTTACGTAGAATGTATATTATGGAATGTGGTTAGTGAATTAAGTGTATGAATCAAGTTGTGCCCCAGAAGACGTTAAAAACACGTCTGTCTGGTGGTCATGGAGCCTTCTGGCAACTCACCAGATAACAATGTCAATAGCCTACAAGAACATCAACAACAGCAGCAGCCATCACAACCAACAACGGTACGCATTTTGATACACACACACACACATGTTCACACTAGCTTTTAATTGGATAAAATCAATTTTCCATCGCAAATTGGGCAATCACTTGAAATGTCACACTAAATGAAATGACGCGCCATCACCCACGCGCTAACAATCGAGGCGGCGAAAGCAAGTGCGAGCAAAAAACGATTTTCCACTTTTCATATTTAAAACATCATGCATCCAAAAATGTGATGGGTACTTCCACTATCGGCTCAATTCCCACGTGAAAGCACTCACTTCACGGGAATCAAAATCTATTGTTAGCCATTTATTTTCAATTTCAGAATATTTCATTGGAAATAAGAATAATACGGGAAAATACCCAATCAAAATCAGATAATGATGAAGCCAAAATTGGGGAAAAAGCAGTCATAATCAGTTAATAATGCAAAAGAATTGTACATATTTGTTTACTCATTTTTCGAATGCTCGTTTGTTAGCTAGTATTTTTCATATAATCGGACTCGTTTATCTGTTGAAGCCAACAATTTGAACGTTAAAATTTAATGTAATATGTTCTGTTCCAAACCATCCCTTTTTGCCCGAGCAGATTTTTGGTTTTAAAATCAAAAATTTATGACGTGAATTCCGTCGGCTGGCATTTGGTTTGCAAATTTTACGAAAAGCCAATTTGAAGCGATTAGCGATTTAAGTAATCATTTATTATTATGAGTGCGAAAGAACGTGAAGGTTAATCAGTATGGTATAAAATGTTTCAACAGCAACATCATCAACCACAGCAGCAAAATGCAAGCACTGCACAACAACAGCAGCAGCAACAACAACAACAGCAACAACCGCATTCGCAAACAACATCATCGCTGGAACGTCTGTCGAGGCCCATGGCATTCGATAAGATGGAAATTTTGGTGAGAGAGATGCAAGATCCCGAATGCGGCGTCCCGGTTCGCAGCCAAAAGCTTTTCTTAACATCGATTCCGTCTGCTTTTATGGGTTCGTTTACACGTTCTAATAATATCATTTTTTTAAATCAATTTACGATGATTTCACCATTGCAGCAGCCATAATAATAATAATAATGAGGAATAATTTTTTTCTCTCTTTCTTTCTCTCTATTTTCTGGATATTTTTCGATGAAATTTTCCAATGTTTGCAGGCTATGATTTAATTGAATGGTTAATGGAACGCTTATCGATCGAAGAATCCGAAGCGTTGAACATTGCCAATCAATTATGTTTACATGGCTACTTTTTTCCTGTTAGTGATAGCAAAACGCTTGTAGTCAAAGACGATTCGTCGCTCTATCGTTTTCAAACACCGTATTATTGGCCATGGCAACATAAAACACCCGACAACGTTGAATATGCCATTTACCTCGTGAAACGTTCGCTACGAAATAAACAACGTCACGGTCTCGAAGACTATGAAGTCGATGCGTTGGCTAGTTTGCATAAGAACCTAAAAGCAAAATGGGATTTCATCACGATGCAAGCCGAAGAGCAAGTGAAATTGTCAAAGGACCGGAAGAAAGGCGATAAAATCGTTGCCGATTCACAGGTACAAATTATTTGGCACATCAATTTATTATTATGTGAACGATCTGTCACGAAATTTAATTAATATCCCCCTCATTCTCTTCTGTGTTTGTTCGATTTCCGTGTGTTTGTATAGGAACGTGCATTTTGGAGAGTTCATCGCCCGCCACCTGGCCAATTTACACCTTTAGAACCGTGTCCGGTGCCGTCACGTGATCGTCAAGGCAAACCACGTCGCCGTACTTCCGAGGATGTGCAACGTGAGGTCGACTATCTAACGGCTTCACTCGGACGAACACGCATCAAAATGTCACAAGCTTGTGAATTCTTGGCTCAATACTGGGAAACATTTTCCGATTATGATTTCTTCTTGCAATCAGCTCTCCCATCTAATCCTTGGGTGAATTTTTGTTTAATTCTTATTTATATGTATTTCTTTATTCAAAAACACATATAGTATACTATACTAGTATAGGCTCATCGTTCATTCGATGTTTACATGATTTACTTAAAAATCGTTCATTAGGTGACCGAAGATCAAACGTTTTGGCAACTGAACAATAGCATCGTTGATGTGCCGACAGAAAAACGAGTTCGTCGATGGGCCATTTCAATCGAAGAGCTCGTATCCGATCCAACCGGTTTACAGGAATTTCAAAACTATCTGCGTAAAGAGTATTCCCATGAAAATATTCGCTTTTGGACAGCGGTAAATGACCTACGGCGGTCGGCTCATTCGCAAATTGCACGCAAGACTAAGGAAATCTATGAGGAATTTCTTGAGCCCGGTGCCCCGTGCGAAATTAACATCGATAGTAAAACCATGGAAAAAGTTCAAGGCGGCTTGAAAACACCGTCACGCTTTACATTCGATGCAGCCTCCGAACATATATATGCGTTGCTTTTGAAAAAGGACTGTTACCCACGATTCATTCGATCCGAACACTATAAATCATTGGTGGCCACTGGCATACAACCATCGCATAAGAAACGATTCTTTGGTTTTGGTGGAGCGGCGAAAAAGAAAAGCTCGACGACAGCACCGCCAAATATGGCGCTTTTATCGCAGGTTCGTATTAATTGTCATGCAGTCGACCAATTCTCGACAGCTTCTCTACTTAGGCTTAAATGTGCTATTTTCATGCAATGCATTTGTTTGGATTATTTTTATTGCACCTTAGACGCCATCGGTAAGTACAACAGCCCCAACCACAACCGGTGTTCTATCACGTCGTCGAGGCAGCGATCGAAGTTTAAGTGGATCAGCGCATGAGTTGGCGGTGTGTGGAGTTGGAAAAGATGTCAGCAATAAAGTGCCACATTCACATAGTCAGAGCAATCTAAGCGATATTCCGTATAGGTAAGTTACTAAAATCGCTATCGTTTGCCCATCACACGAAATCAACGAGAGAAAAAAAACACACACGAACAAAATATATATTAGAGTTTTTTTTTGAGCTAATTTTAGATTTTAGTGAGTCAAAAAGCAGCAAAACTCAATCAGCTCTGCTCGGCATTTTATAACTTGTTTTGGTTTTGAATCATTTTTTTGGGTTAGTTTTCTTTGTTTTTGTTTTTGACTGCTTATTAGCGCGCCTATCGATCAATTTTTTTCTATCCACAAACACACAAACACATATCTAGCATTATTTATATAGTATAGGCTCATCGTTCATTCGACGTTTACATGATTCACTTGAAAATCGTTCATACTCAATAAATTTCATCATGCAATTTTCATTTCTTCATTGAAAAAAACAAACAAACAAACAAACGAAAATGGTGGAAAATTGTTGTGTGTCTAAATGAAGGTAACAATAAGAAAAGAACTGATTTTACGAGAGACATAAAATAACCGACATCCAAATCGCATTTTATGTCAATTTTTATTTCCTTTCTGTTCTCTCGCAGTGCGCGAGTGTCGCGTACGATTTTTGAGTCTGAGATCTACATCCAATTTGTTAGTGTTGACTGTGATGAGAGAAGAAGCAACAACAAATCACATCCGGATGGTGTTATTGATTTTGTGTTTTTTTTCCTCTCTCTCTCTCTCTCCGCGTCTGATTTCTGTGTTCAGGCCAGACCATTCGATTCAATTGGGTTTCTTTTTCTTTCCGTTGTTCACATTTTGATTTGTTCGTTTTTTATGTGTTTCTTTATTTTTATTTTTCTTATTCCATTGTCTTTCTCAGTGTAGTGATTTACAGAGGCGATATGCCGTCGGGTAATGGTGATGCTGTCAGTGGCGGCAGCAGCTGTAATAAAGAAGTACCAAATGTAATAGCCTCCACTGCAACTGGAGTACACAATGCTTCTAAAAATTATCCGTAAGAGAAAATCTAAAGTCTCTCTCAATCCATGTGCGTGTTCGTATGTCTGTATGTCTCTGTTTCTGTAATATTTTTTTTATTCATTCTCGTTTGAAAAAATAAATAAATTAATAATTATATGCCAAGTGATATCTAGACAAAATACAAAAACAAATCTAATATTAATGTAATTAAGAAGGACAAAAACAAATAAAAACTTTTTTCTCGTCATCTGCAACTTCTGCCATACTATATTATGTGGAAAACCAATATATAATGTTAAGTTATATTCTTTTGACTTTCTCTACCTCAAATTGTTGTACATTTTAATGTTCGTGTGGGTGTTTGTATTGCTTCCTTTTCTCACTCTCTCTGTGTGTTATTCTCATAGCTCTTGATTCGCTTTTTTGCTCTCTCTCTCTGTCGCTCTATCTCTCTCTCTCTCTTTGTCCCGTCTACTTCTCTCTGTGTTTCTCTCTCTCTCTCTCTCTCTCTCTCTCTCTCTCTCTCTCTCGATTCGTTCATTGTACTTTGAAGTGTTTCTTCATTCCCACAGTTATCCCAATTGCGATGATTTAATGGGTGAATCTTATCCATAAGCATCTATTGAAATGCAATTGCATTCCAAAGTAAAAGAATGTCAGTTTGTAATGTGCCCCATTTGGATGGAAGCGTATGTAAATTTCCATGAAATGTAGTTCAACATTACTACCATGTACATGCACAAAGAGAGAGTGTGCTTAGCTGCATCAATTCGTCTCCATTACACACCGAAAGCCATTAGTTATCACAATGACGAGCTAAACAAAGCCGATAATAAATTTAATTGAATGAATTGTTACGCAAATTACGGATCCTGGTTTCCTACAGCCCCATTTCTCTCTCTCTGACTCCATTCCATAAAAGATACTTTGAAGCTAGCAAATTTTGACAAACATCCTTTGGCCGTGTGTATGTGTTTTCTGGTTATTTCTCCACCCTTGTTGCATTCATTGTGCAATTATTCAACGAACAATTGTCTCAATTGCCGTTTGGTTCCATTGCAGCCTCGTCACATGAGACTGCAAATTATCTTTTCGAGTTGTTTGACAGAATGCGCGTAATGCGATGAAAATCGCATGCGAATTAATATTGACGGAGAGGCAAATTACAAGTAACTACAGACGTGTGACAAACGTGACAGAAAATCACTGTTTCAATTACGAATGACAACGACAACGACGACAACAGCGACAACAACGACAACAACGATGACGATGACGATGGTTGAATGCAAGACGTGTGTTTGCCAAACAAATAGGAAGTCAGCATTTCGTTTGCCTTTGAGAATGCGTTTGAGTCGTATTGCGCGCATCTTATATAAATTTATATAGTTTTCTCTATTTCCATTCTCTCTCTCTGTTGATTTTTGTGCCTTTGTTTTTGCCTTCTTTGCATTTGGACGATATTGATGTTATGTGTCGGAATAAAAAGGTATTTTCCTTTCGTAATGTACAGAATATTTTTCAACTAAAGACAAACAAGGAAAAAGAAAAAAGAAAAATGCGAAACGCCAACATCTTTAATTCCATTACTGCACTGAATTAATGGCCTTTGTGTGAAGTGTGTACTCGCCTCCCTTTTTAATTAATTTAAAAAAATTTACTCGTTTGAAGCGTAGGATGCAAAGAATGCGTAGCAGCAAGTGAAGAGAAAACAAAAATATAAAACAACCAAGTGAACTACTTGCGCTTTTTCTTATGAGTGTTTGTGTTGTAAGGTTTGTTCTGTTTTTTTTTCTCTCTCCATTCCATTCTGTTCGCTCGTTTTCTTTTTAATTATGTTCAACCACTCTTCAGCACGTAACACGAAATATTCCAGGTGAAGAAACCTAATCCACGTCTCAATTGTTTTTCCTGCAAAATCCATAGAATGACATAATTTTTCGTCTCTTGGTTTAATATCGTGTTGGTTTTTTTTTACTTCGTCAATTTTACTTTCATTTTCAGCACAAAATCCCATTAATTTAATATTCACAACGTTGTTTTGTTCGAAATGTTAACTGTAACGTATGTTACATATATATATAGTTAGTTTATATCCCCGTGAGATATTTGAATGTCCGAGAATGAAAACGCAACTTCTATTCACAACACATATAA